TTTCGGGCGCGAACGTAGGTGAGCGTCTCGCCTACCTGATCAATCCGCGCCCCCGTCGCAATCAATGCCGCCAATTGATTGCGGAGTTTGGAAAAGAGCGATTCCGACACTGGCACGATCGCATGTGCGATCGTTACGAGTCGCTCTCGCGACGACGTGCTGTTGCGTTCGTGAAAAAAAGAAACGATAATTTCAACAATCGATATCGGTAAAATAAAGCGTTTATCTTAACTCTCTGACTCTGAAGTTCTAACCTTCGGTGAACTTAGTGGAATATGACATAATCCGGCAATATTTAACCCGAATCGTCCCGAATGGTACACATGTGTACCACCAATGTCTCAAAACACTTGAAAGCTGAATTATGTCATTTGACGCTAAATTAACTTAATACCTAATACTTTATCGGGAAAAAATCGCTTATATTCCGGAACGAAAGGGTTAAACCCCTAATAATTTTTGGTTTAATACTACACCCAAGTTGCCATTTCGTGCAGCTGGAGTTATGGTTGTATTTATTGTGAAGCGTAGCATAAGTAGCATGGGGTATGAGATACCCCATGGTTCACCGTGTGTTGATTTTTCTCCACTTGGTTCGCGGAGGGTGAAAAAAACCGGTAAAAAATCGATATTTTCAATTTTCACTCGGAAAGAAACCGAGGAAATCCGTGGGAAAAGTGGAAAAAATGATATATTTTTTTGTTTTCACTCATCCGCGGCAAGAAACCGAAAGAAGCGTGGGGAAATTGAAAAGACCCGGATTTTTTCCAATTCTTTAAAATTATTTCTCTAATTGTAAGGTTAGAGTCGAATATGACCCCACGGCTTATTTACAACGTAAAAACACACGCTGCTTCTCTTCTCAAGGAATTTTCCATGTTATTATTTACTTCTTTTAGCCATTTTGTACATCGATTACATGGAAAATGAACAAAACAGAGCATGGGATAGGATTCACTATCACTTTTGGTACTTTATTTGGTACTTCGGATAACACCATAGAGATTAATTTCCAATTTCCATTTTTGAATTTTTTACTGGTTCAGCCGGCGTTTTCTTAAACGAATATCACAGTTACAGCGAATCATTAATTCAACGAAGCGTTAATTTCGAATTATTATCTATTATGTATGCGTAACCAATGGTAGTACGATCGTAGGTTGCTTAACGAATAGAACTTCAATCGATTCAAAACATTCACAAATCAAGCTCTCTCATTATCGTTATTACCATGTTATGCGGTTGTTATCAGACTCGTTACGATGTCGCCGCAAAACTATTCTCGGAAATAGCGAATTATTTCTGCGTTTCACTGTAAAACGTTCTCGCGAGTGATCGTCGACGCCAGTGTTTTCGAAGCCGTTGCTTGTCGGAGAAACTACTCAGGGATGGAGAAAAGGAAAAACATCGAATATCGTTAGGAAAATCTTTCGCGTGACGAAATCGAGCGTTTCTTACATTTTAGCGCAACGTTGAATTATATTTCTCATTTTTTCTTTTTTCATTGATACGTGAAACATGTTCTGATTCCCGTCATGGTGTCATGTGGAGCGAATAAACGTGGGATAAAATAAAGCGAAGTTCTGAGAAATTACGATTTCCGTACACACGGACGAAATTATTATGACGATAATGAGACAATATCGTTCCTCGAAGCCTTTTCTGATACGTCATTTGAAACTCGTGTGCACATTGGTAGATTGCAAAATTTCCCGGAAAGTCTTGTCGCCAATGTCCGGACAGCGAGAAATGCAACATTGTCAAAAAAATCGGATGTTGAAATCAGTGGTCGATCGCGGTCAATCGGGACTGCTGTCACCGTAGAAAAGCTAAGCTTACTCGCGGTGATTTTATGACGGACATCGAAAAAAATTTATGAAAACTTGGGCGGAACGCCGTCGGGCCGCATCGGCAGTTTAGAAAGACGACTCTCGTGCGATACTTCGCGAAGTGAACCGGATCGCCGAAAGAACCGCACCGGTTCTCAATGATAAATTGGATGCATTTAGTACATAAAGTGGGTTCATTTTTGTCGCGCTATGCCGAAACTGTAGTAGCTGTCGTACACGAAGAAAAAAATAGACGGCTTCGTTATTTGTAGACACGAATAAAACCATTGCCGTATATACGATAAAATACGACACACGAGCGTGATGAAATCTATTTTTCGAGCGGGCTGGACATTGATAAGATGCGATCATACGTTTCAGATATGAGGAACCGTCATAGGTCACGCATCAGAATTTATTTCGAAGATTATTCTCAAGATATAATAAATCTTAAAACGGATAAAATAAATTAAAATCAAATCTCTGGTTGCACAGTGCTAATGTGTGTAGAACGTGATGGTAATATTTCAATTATTATAAATTATTCCGAACTGTGTATGTATTTTATATAAATATATAAAATATAAATATATAAAATACATATGCAGCCCGGAATAATTGATTGTTTATATTTTTTATACATAGATTTTTACTTAGAGAGATTCGTTGCTTCATTTGTGAATTTCGAATGAAAAAACGGGGAGACGGTGGGCGCGAGGAGGAAATGATCGGCGGGGGTTCGATTTCGAAAGGAGGTTCGTGAGCTGAAAACAATCGGAGCAAAGTGCCATATTAAAATTCTTAAGATTTGGCCGCTTTTATCGTGTCGCGCGCTGCAGCACGCTACTGCAGTCACGTTCGCCGACACGTCGGTGCATAATACATACGATACACGACTAAAATCGCTTTCGAATATCGCGCGTGTCGAAATAACGAAAGTAATTTTGCCTTCTGTCCGTTAAGCGAGGCATGTTAATGCGGCCCTCATTAGTACAACGCGGAAGAAGAATTTCGGACGACGAAATTCGAACAATTGCGAATGCAATCCGTGGCGTGTCGCATCTTATCGGCGGAGCAATTAAGGCCGATGCATTTTCTGCGTACGCGACGCATTTTTTCCCATAGCTGACTTTGTCGACCGAACGCTGTTATAACATACTTTGTCAAAGTATAATCAATTATATCAGGTATTCGATGACGGGAGCGATAGGGGTTGATCGATAGGACGATATTTCATGCGTCACGAGAGAGGACCGAGATATAATCTCCTTCTCTCTCTTTCTCTCTTTCTCTCTCCACGAAAGTCTGAGCGACCTATACATTTTCTTGACCTTTTCTTCTTTCTTTTTTAAAATTTTAAAATTCTTTTTAATGAAATAACCTGACGACCTTTTCCGCGATCAGAAGTCCGATTGAGAAAACTTGGCCTTTAAATTTTGTTACTAATCGACTTCCTCGGAGATTCGTCAGAAAGGGAAGAGTGGGAGATCGTTACTTCGAATCTCTATTACGCACTCGCGAACCAACGTGACGCGCGTTCGCATGACAAGCAGCTTAAATAAACGGGCTGTCTTCTCTCTACAGTCTTCGACTGTATGTGTGAATTGTGTCGTGTTTTTTATTCTTTTTCGTCGAATTCACGACTGTGATTTTTTTTTCTCGACGTAACGTTGACGCAATTGAACGCGATGAAACGCTCGTGATCGTATCCGTTGTGAACGCCGGCGGCTTGTTTCGCGGCGAATTCGGTCAATAAGGCGGCTGCTGACAAAGCGCGCGCGAAATCGTTTACTCGAAACGCCTAGCCCAACGTGGTTAATCAAAAGTTAACAGCACCTTGTTCGTAACGAAAGTGCGAGTATTGCATGTCTCGCAATTAATGAGCGACGTTTAAAATATGAAGCCGTAGATGTGCGTAGAGTGCCGAACGGCGGTATGCAATGTGCTCGTTCATTGTTCCCTGTTGCATAAAGCTTGTCAACGCGTCTGTCAATGAGCTTGAAAATTATTTACGCGCTCGCCCGGACACAAATTTGTTTGACACTGAAAACACACCGCGAAATGCTTCATCTATTCACTCGAACGCACTAACGTGTCTTTCCTAACACGAGCGCGATTTGTCGCTAAGGTGACTTCCGACTGCGCAAACATCTTACAACGACGTGTATAAATATTAATTATTAGCAGTTAAAAAAGCCGCTAAAAGCAGCTAAAAAATTTCAATGCGTTCATTACGCGCGAAGCGTATGCACAATGCAAGCTTTACGTGCGATTTGTCTCTCTACTTGTTAATTTTTTGTAATACAGTTCTGTGTGTTTGTTAGTATTATCATATTATATGTAATACATAAATGCGTAATGTATAACAAAATATAAATATAAATAAATATATATATGATTTATATATTTATTATATTTATATTAGTATTTTTTATATATTGGTATATTTTTTCTATATTTATTCGTTTATATATATAGAGCGGGAGAAAGAAAGCTAAAGTTATTGCACGCGGAGAAAATATTTCAATAAAAATTATCACATTTTGTAATTCTTCCGGCCATACCGGAATTATAATGTGTGTTGTAATCTCTAGTGATATGTATATATCATAATTTCAATCATAATTCCGGTATGATCCAAAATTTTGTGGTAATTTTTACTACAATATCTTCTCCGTGTAGAAAAACGTCACGTGACAACGATGATGGTTAGTTAAGTTTAACGATGAGACGCTGAGACGTTAACGATACCCGACTCGAAATTTTAGTTCTACGTTAAGTCTAGTTGGTTTTACATTAATATCTGGTTCCACTATCGTGGTTTAAATCTAATCGACGATTAACTCAACGAAATTGACCAATCGCATTGCTCAATTCAGCTAATTGGCCAATGCAAATGGTCAATTTCGTTGAGTCGATCGTCGTTTAGATTTAAGCCACGATGATGGAATCGGACTTAAGTCTCCAAAGGGGCACTATTGTCCCTCCTTGATGCTATAAACAGGAAATTATTGCCGTTTCCTTCATTTGGAAACTTAATGTAGAACTAAATGAACTTAATAAGTAAATTAAGTAAACTTATATAAAACTAAAGTTTCGACTCGAGTACACGCGAAAGACCGAGCCACCCCAAATGTCACGAAAGGTTTCAAAGGATTCCGTAGGGCTCACCGTAGTGCGGATTGGTGTGATGCACTTCCGGCCTGCCGACGCTCCATATATCCTTCTCGGTATCGACCGTGTAATTGCCGAGGCTGCTGATCAGCTCGACGAAGGTGTAATTCTTGGTCGTGTCGGTCTTGTTGGGCGCGAGCACACGGAGTATCTCCTCCTCCTCGAAGGCGGCGCCGAGACTCCTGGGCGTCAGGACGTCTACCGGCTCGCTGGCGCGCGACAAACCGATTAAACCGAGAATCGCCCAGGCTCTCAGGAACGTCCTCATTCTCTTTCTCTTATCGTCGGAACCCGAAAACGCCAGCGTCCGAAAACTGTCCCCGAGAACTTCCACTCCGACTTGTGCGTCGCGATTTCACGCGATTGGGAGAATTTTCCTTCCTTCTTCCGCGATCCCCGGAAGTCTCGTCGTTCTCCGGAAGATCTCTCAGCGGCAGAGCTGGTCGGCGATCATTCGTGGTCTAACTGGTTCGCTCGATCTTCCTCAAACGATGCAAGGAGGACTCATCCGGGGATCCTCGTCGTGAAGTTCTTCGGCGCGGAAAATTCGTCGTTCGAATCACCGGCGGCACGTTTCTCGCCCGAACGCAGTGCCGATCGAGGTCACGGTCGTAGATCGGGCGCAGAATCCGATCGAGGATAATCGTGCGTGCTATCGAGCGTCTCGCGGCCCCAGCATTGCCCGCTTGTCCGAAGGTGAGCTTTACGAATGATCGCGGTACGATCGCGTAACGACGAAGTCACCTGTGTGGCCACCTTGCGAACAGGGCGCTGCGAAGGGGGGTGAATACCGTGTGACCGCTCGTCTCCTCTCCCACTCTTCCACATCGAGGAGGACCTCGTGTCGACGAAATGAGCAAGTGAAGAGAAGACGCGTGCGAGTGCGGACGTCACTCGCGTACGCGGCCCGGGTTACCTAGTTGGTGACCGGAATGGGCGAAGTGAGCGACGTTGTTTTACCTTAGACGGGAATGCGAGTCGGCGGATTTTTGGCCGCTCATCTCGAATATATTCTTTCTCTTTGCAAAGGTGAAGAGTTCAAGGGAGAGAACTCCGATCGCGCGTCTCCTATCTAAAAATTATTTTTCATATGTTTCCATTAAACAAATTTCTTAAACGGTCGCGGATCGCCACGCTTTACGATGCGATTGAGCGCTCGTTATGGTTCGCGCGTCGAAAAAAAAAAAGCAGCGATTTTCTCGTTTCAACATTTCAGGCAAAGTTTGCACTCGTCTTTGCCGCGTTGCGCTCTAGAAAGTGCACGCGCGCCGAAGCGTTAAGGCGCCGACAAAGCTGCCGAGGAAAGCGAATCACTATTCGAAAATAAAAGTGGTCGCGAGGCGAAATCGGGGCCGAATCTATAATTTTTGACGACAGTATTATTATCGTCACGGCGTCGTTGCGCAGGCATAACATATAGCGGAGAAGCTGCGCAACGACAACATCGATAGAAATTTTAGTTTAACATTAAGTCTATTCATATAGTTATATAGTTCTACATCAAGTTTTTTAACCCATTAACTGCCAAATTTTTTTTTTGAAATTTTTGGCCGGATAAGTTATATATATGCACAAAAAGTTGTGTAACAGTATAATTATATTCAAATTATGTTTTGTTTTAATCCCCAAAATGGGGATCGTGGCAGCTAATGGGTTAAAGATTTTCTATTGTGCTCCTCTTGATATTACAAATGAGAAATTATTTCTATTTAGGGGGGGGGGGGGCAAAAATTTATCCTCATACAAAACTTATTAGCATACTTATATTAAAGCCAGTCTTCGAGGGTCTTCAGTAAATTTTTTAAATATTTTTTCTTCCGACTTTTTTCTTTTCGCAAGCACAATTTTTCTATATACACTTAGCATACATCCATTGAAGCAATTTTCTGACATTGTCGACCGAAATCGGGTCTTCACCCTTCACAATTGTACTAAAAGACCTTTCAATAGCGCTCATTGTGCACGGTTGGGCCAAGGAAATATGCAGGTCATGTTTCGTAGCTAGAAGGAAAGTCTCAGCTTCTTTCGACATCTCTATCGATCCCGACTCTTCCAGTTCCTCTTTGTTAATTTCTCACCTCTCCAGAGAATATACTACTTCATTGTAAAAATTATTCAAATTATAACAATCATTCAACAATTATTTAAATTATAAATTATATCATAAACAATTATTCAAATTGCAACAAACGAAAAAAACGATTATTACTGTCATAATTTAAGGGGAAGAAAGATCCCCTGTCCCCTCTCGCGTCCATGCACTGTATAATTAAATTAGTAGATCCGTTCCGTCAATCCATTATTGCGACCAGCGAGCGCGCTTCAACTCGACATCGTTCTACGCAATGACCGTTAATTAAAATTCAACGGCGGTTTAGTCATGTCATCCATAAGCGAGGCGGAGTGCTGGTGAAACTCGACAGATCTGCTTATAATTAAAGATGTCCTCGTGACATTCCGTTACCGGTTTTGTTAACCAATCACACGTTCCGTTAACGCAACCTTAGAAGATCTCAATCACATCGGTAGAGTCTAATCATCTTGTTATCGTAGCGCGCAACAAAAAAAATGAGAGATGGGGAATCTCTCGTCGCGCAATGAGGGAAAAATCGCAAAATTAACGTCCTCCTTCAAATAACGAGATTAAAGTCGGATTAGGATAAATAAGATAAATTTTTTCCATCTTCTTCATGATCTATTTATTATCATTTTGATTGGGGGCAGAAATAAAAGGTTAGTTAATTTAAGACGAGACGGAATATTTCGAAAGCATTGATTTTAACAATCTCCGGACCACCGAGGCATGACAACGGTTCGACGGTTGACAACGCGTTCGGTGATTGAAAAAGTAGGAGTGAGGTAGTCTTTTTTTTATTGTTTTGATACTCGCGCCTATTATATATTTGTCCGTATGACCGAGTCATTTCAAGCCAACTATCGACGGGCATATCGCGGAGTACATATATTGGTTATAATTCCAATCGACTTGAGATATTTAATTGAGCTTCCATTGGCATCACGTTAATCAACACGCGTTTCTTTGATCGAGTAGTGTCTGTGCGATGGTCAATATCAGTTGTCAGAGGGTGTATCCTGAATGCCACGACGGAGCAGTCGGAAGCCAGGATATTGGATCGTAAAGTCAAGACGGAAGACGCAGGACACCGGACGCAGGACCTAAACGACATATCGTATGCTTCCAAGTATGTCAAATTATTTATTATACGGAGATTTTCCATTTTAACGGACATTTGACGAACTTATCGAGAGTAAGGAAACACCCGAGTGCCGGTGAAACTCGACAGATCTGCTTATAATTAAAGATGTCCTCGTGACATTCCGTTACCGGTTTTGTTAACCAATCACACGTTCCATTAACGCAACTTTAGAAGATCTCAATCACATCGGTAGAGTCTAATCATCTTGTTATCGTAGCGAAATTCAGATCGGCACTTACAGTTTATTGTTATTTAATAATTATATATTTTATAAGCCTCTATGTGTGTGATCAATCTTTATAAATCTCTGATTATTCGTTCATTTATATTATATTTATTTACATTTGCAAAAAATATTGATCCAAACAGTTGACTAACGGTTCATGAGTGCGAAATTAATTTTGTTCTTGATTAAAGATTATAATTAAACGGTGAGTGCTGACCTTAGAATTTATTACAAGTTTTACAATTAATGACTTATGTGTCTAATAATAATGGGCCGCAAATTTCATTTTCTTGATATTTTATTTGATTTTTTTCTTTTGTTCATCGTTGTTATTGTTCCGAATTTAAATTTAGAGCTCTATTATGCACATTATTGGGGATATAACATTATTGGGCTATCTTTGCCTTTATAAATCCTTTACATCCTTTCTAAATCTCCCAATTCTAGGATTTTTAACGTCAATAAAAAAATAATAGAAAGACTAATAAAAAGAAAAAGTTTGTTGTTATAATACTCCATTAATGTTTACTTATATAAAATTCTTTAATATCTGCTTATCGTACATATTTTGTTGACAATACAGTTACGTAATTATTTATTACATTGCTTATTAAAATTAAAAGTAAATATAAAAAAAAACTATTACACTGCTTATAAAAATTAAAAATAAATATAAAAATTAATTTTAATTATAATTAGAATATCAATGTAATTGTATATGAAATAATTTTTAAATGAATACTTTCCGAAATTTCAATTAGTTTTCAATGAATTATTAACAACAAGAATGAAACGACAGTAAGTAATCATCTGTGGCAGCTAAGTGAGTCAATATTTTCTCTATATATTTATATCTTACATTTCTCCATCGATCCTTCGAATCCAGTGGAATTTGCAGGATTAATGTGGAACCAGAATTTTGACTCGAGATAGTTATTCGGGAGATACCCAGCACAGAGAGGGGAACCATTACGCAAATTCCTCGATAATTTTACTAATATTTAATCTAATATCTAATCATCTTTAATTGGGGAATTCCTTCGTGTCTGGAATGTTTGCTTTAACGAATGTCTGTGCAAAATTAATCGTATGCAAGATGATCCTTCGAACCGTTTTCTATATTTTTAGACTTAACGGCCGAAGTCTAAAGATTAGGACGTATCATTGGATAGGAATTTCGATGTCTTCTTATACAATTTTAGCCATCTTGGAATTTGATTTCTATCGTTTCCGAGCCATCGACGTGTCACCTAACACATCGACGATATCGGAGAAATTTTTACAGGCGCGTGTATATAGAACAAATAACGAATGAATATGTGAGAATGATAATAATGAGAAGAGTAACGTGCGAACGGAAATTTAGCAGAAAATGTTTAACGATGCGATTCGATAGCCATTAAATCGTTACGCCGTGGTAAAACGAACATTTCCATATAGCACATAAGCTTGCTGCAAGCAATTCACATTGCTGCAAGCTGTAACGTTATAACGTTACAGTAATGTTCGTTTTGACAAAAAATTCAAAAATAATAATATTTTCGTATTTATAATAATTTATACATATGTTTATCCTAATTTCGTTTCAAATCAACATTTATCATTAACTTAGTGAAATAAATGTATAGAAGTATAATTTTGCTTGATAAATATTAAATTTATGGCCCCCTTGATGCGCCACTGAAAATACGACTCGGTGCCTTACAAGCTCCTTAAGATATCAGCTAGACATTATTTCAGCTTACTTCTTGTAGTGTGGACAAGTACTTAATTTGGCTTCCAGGTTAGTGCCGCGTCCTTCGTATCTCCAACATGTAGGAACGAATTCATGGACGCAGCACTGAGCCGGAAGCCAAATTAAGCGTTCTTCAGTTTATTAGAAATGTTACACGACAATGTAATTTGTCCGGGACACACGTACGCGTGAGCGTTGATTATAATAATTATCGTCCGTGAAATCTCAATTTCTTTCTCTCAGCGGTTATGCGCGCCGATACACTATAGGCGTGCCCACTCGTATTTCGTTCTTACAAAAGCGAAGTGCCGAACAAATAGACGAAGTTTATCTCGAAGGTAATCGGCTGTGCGGCCTTGAATATCGACCGCCGCCGATCGCTCTGGCTATCCATTTAATTAACATCGTTGGAAGACTTTTTATCCACCTAAAGTTACAAAACTGATTCTGGGAAATCTCTTTGACGTTTTAATAAATGACAGCGTGCGTGTTAGTTAATATGGCCGTCTATCGATGCCTCGTCGATCGATAAGGCTAAGAGAAATATGATTTTTGTCGGTTCAAATCGAAAAGATCCGAGGTTGATTCGGTGACTTTGGTGACATTTTACGCCTATGCTTTGCATCTTATTTATAAGAATGAAAGTTGGATGATTCTGTTTCTTGCTTTTCTCTCTTCTTTTTTTGCAAGAATCTGAATTTCGAGTCGATCTGACAGTCAAGCGGACTGGCGACGCGTGCCGCTGGCTGCATGCGGTACGCGCGTGCGTTTGCACACGCATCCTTCAATGAAAATGCTACCATTCGAATTCAACGTACGGAAATACGATTGTCGATTTGTACGATTTGTCAACGCGGTTACAAATGCCTCATTATCGATGATTCAGCCGTATCCCGATATGTTATTCCGGATTTACCGTTCGCGATGATAAACCATTTTAACGGGGGATTATTTACGACCTTCTTGCTAATTACTGATTATAATTTGACTTGCTTGTAGAAACGGATGACATATGAAAAGAAGATAATTAATAAAAATATAAAAATAGACGTCCGCTATAACATTGCTCCTATCATTTCCACATGCGAGCAATAAAAGAAAGAGAGAGAGGAAGAGGAAAAAGACAAATATGGGCGATATATCTCAAATTTATTCCCGTTCTTCAGAAAATTAGAATTAACTTCGCGCTATTAATATATTCATTGTCGCATCTAAAATCGGCTCTCGGATTAACGTTGCGTCACATGTGCCGCCTTTTGTCGACGTAACAACTTCTTATAGCATTATTGTATGCTGACAACGAGTTCCGAGACCTGAAGTTGTCGCATCGAGCTAAATGTCACGGCTCAAATTAAAGAATATACACTCTGCGTGAGCGGCGAGGCCAAAACAGGTAGAAACAATCAAAGGGAATGAAGAGCGAGGTGAAATGAAGGAAGTTTCATGCCACAAATTGGCCTATGGTAAAATTCACTATTGATAAATTAATTAATAAATTAGCTCAAGGTTTGGCGAGTACACTCAGCCACTGTGAATCTTGACGCAGTTCGTAGAAAACGTCGAGACACGCGTCGGACTTTCGTTCGTTCGATTATAGTTCGAGAGTTCTCCTAATGACAGACGTATGAATGGTAATAGTTATACTAGGTCGGAGACTCCCGACTAGTGCGTATTGCATTTTTCAGCAACACACGTGCATTCTCGACATTGCGACACCGGTATCGCGCGCCACGCGCTATCAGTCGTTCGCCATATGGAAACATTTACTAATTCTATCGATACTCATAATAAGAAATAATTGTTGCAAACTGTTAACAATTCGTTGTGCAAAATAGATGTTCGGGTATATGAATATATTTGTCTAACGAAATTGCTTACTCATCAAATATTTATAATACGTACTACCGAAGAAGAATTTAAAAAATAATTAATTAATATTTACTCTCGTAAAAAATAATCTGACCTTTAATTCAAATGTTGATTGCGCAAAAAAATCCTCTTTATAACTGGATTTTTACACAACACTCTCTCCCAACATTTTTATGACCGCGTTCAGAAATTAGCACATTTATCCTGCGTATACAATTTAGAGATTGCTATTTTTATAATGTGACGTCAGTGTCTTAGGAAGTCCATCGATCCGAAGGATCAATAGTATAGAACTATTGGAAACCACTTATCCCGATTACCGTTATTTGAAGGATATTCAAGTAGAAGTGCCCGTTCGTCAATGTCCGCGACATACAACTCATACCGAGTCAATTCGCAAGTCAAGTTGATTTTCTGTCTGACGATAGGTGGAAAGCAAGGAAAACACAGGAAAATAATTAATCAAACGAATTTCTTGAGCAACCTAGTAGCTCGTGCAATGTCGCGTACGTTGCGTCGTGCAACTTATTTAAACGAAACCCGGTCTCGCTTTGTTACGCGCGCGTAAATAGGACACGTGTGTATGTGTGTGTGTGTGTGTGTGTGTTGAACCTCGGCAATGCGCTGGGATTGTTTAATACCGGCCGATACGTCTTCTCGGGTGTCGCGAGAGTGAGAAGTCAACGACGGAATGCTGCGAACCGCGACGACCATCGCGAATTTGACACTCGAATGATTCTTGTGATTTCCCTTTTCGCACGCGCGCGAACTGCAAATCATCGTTACAGCTACCGTGGGCAAACAAATCTTCCAAGAACGTTGTACCTCATCTCGCGCAAGTTCGAGAGAAATTTCATTTTAGTTTTAAAGTTCCGGAAAAGAAACCCGTTTTTCTTCTCTGCAGATATTTCTGGCTTTTTATCTTTATCACGGAAAAAATATAAATATGGTTTTAACCGAAACAGGTTTCTCAGCCGTAAACGTGTTCCGGAGCGGAACACACGTGAACTTTTTTTAACGAATTTTAGCATATTGTAGCTCTGATGATAAAATATGATGATATATACACAAAACTATTTAGCAGCCGAACATAAATATATATATTTTAGTACCACACACATACTTAACCCTTAGCTGACACACGTCAAAATAATAACATACGTGCTATAGGGGATATTTTGGACCCCAGCGAGAAAAAATGTGTATAATTGTTTTATCAATATTGGGTCAAGCCTCGACTAATACTAGGTGACGCCACAGAACCAAATTTGGCGCGCAGCTATGAAAAATTTGCGTTCAAACACTCTGGGGTACTTTTAACCCCGTGTGTCAGCTAAGGGTTAATATTAATATTATCATTATTAATATTATTCTATGAGAGGTTAAAAACCCAGACATGATGTCATTCATATATACTATTCTTATACTGAATACTGTGAATATATACAATATACTGAGGTCATCCCTGCAACATCTTTCGTGATATATCGTATGTCGTATATTTTTGGGATAAATTCAAAATATAGAAGCTCAGGATACGCTATTCTCGGTATATTACATATGTTCTTAGCTTAGTGGCACATATTACATATGTTCTTAGCTTATGTGGCATATATCTCGAATATTCTGAGGATATACGTGATATACTTTTACGATATTCGTGAAACAACATCCTCTATTTGTGCGGGGATATATCCATCGAGTATTACAAACGTATCGAACTTTCGGCCAGGTGAAACGCAACAACCGCCTTCCGCATATAAGCCGATCCTGAATCCCAGTAATAGTTAATCTGTTAATTATTTTTAAAATCCTCTAGGATACTCCTTTACCCTAATTGCTAACTAAATTAGTACGCAATTTAATGACCCTACTTGTTGTGTTGCGGAAGAAAAATTTTTTTTTCTAATTTTTGTGCCTTCTGCCCGGAAATTGAGGAAAATCGCGAAAAAATGTGAAAAACGACGGTTTTTTTTCCGAAACTTTAAAACTATCCGGTCTCATTCCGAATTCGTTATTCGAGAAATATCGTCGTGTCGTAACGAGAGTTGCTCAATTTACGTGGGTTAACGAACTCAGACGTTGGTGATGTGCAAAGTCGCAAAGTTCTCGACGAGCGGCGCGAATTCACGTGCCACAAGTACATCGAGCGCGCATTTGCTTAACGGAATCGGTCAGTTCCTCCGCGTTTACTTCCGTTCACACAAAACGTTCGACCGGTCAATATTTGAACACGATAAAGACGCTCTTTTCTCATGCCTTCTTCGATTCTTTGTTGGGGACTCCGGGACCCGTTGTCTCGCTATCTTCGATCTTTGTCCGATCGAAGAGCGAATCGCGTGTTAAAAAAAAAGATAAACCAGTATCGCCAGATATCGTGCCTCCGATACCTTTTTTTTCCCTCCACAAAATAAGACCGTAGAATTCTCTTATTGGGGAGAGAAACCACGCCGATTCGATTATCGCCCAGAAATAAAACGTTCCCGACGACAATCGATCTCCTCGCCGAATGCATAATTCTACGCATTTCTGCGCGACGCCGATCCCTCGCCTAACGAGACCGGCGTCCCGTCGTTCAAGACGCCCTTCTCAACCTCCCGGACTACAATTCGAGACTTTTTCGAAACACCGGCACGTCGTTTCGGAGCCCGGGACCGCAATCGATCAAATCGCTCGCCGCTCGAATCTCTATCGCGGAGTAGAGGTCCTAAAATAAGAGTCTGACCATAAGAGCGCCAGTTCTGATTGGTTCGGCAATTTTTGTCAACTGCCGCTCATATTTGAGTCACAATAAGCTTACACATTATTGACACAAACGTTGTATTTAAACAATACGAATAAAGAATAAACGTTGAAAAAAGTGCAATTTGATATGTGTTCGTTTAATCCAGTCCGGCGTAGAGGATCTCTAGGAGATATTTTCATCGCATAATTTTTGCGCGACAAATTATTGCAAAACGGTGCCGCACCGATTTCTACAAAATTATACCGCACATTACCGCATTCATTACCGCAATTATTGAGTTTCAAGCCTCAGAAAGCGGCTTCATACTTTTCATACTCAAAACAGCGTAGACTATCTATAGCGCATGCGTGGCGCGTCAGAAAAGATAAGTCAAAGAGAGAGAAGGATATACATGTTTCTTAAAGAGAGAGACGAATATACATGTTTCTCTCTCTCTCTCTCTCTCTCTCGAAAGATTTTGCCAAAACCGTAGACCAGATTTTGATTCCAAGTCTCCATCGTGGAGAGTTTTCGCACGCGGAACGCTAAATCGAGATTCGCGAATTCGGCGAGGAGCTCGGCGTTCGCGCCACGCCGGCTGCTCGGCCATCTCCGGCAGCGCTCGGGCGCGGTCGGCGAGCGCGCGCAACGTGCGGCCGGCCGCCAGCGCCGTGACCCGCCGGCGCAGCGGACCTAAAGCAGAACAAAGTCAGCCGCCGACGATCGGAAAACCATGTCGTCGTCTTCGTCGCGCGCACCGCCGGCCGCCACCTCCTTGAACCGCACACCCGCAGTCGACACGCGGCCCATCCGCTCCGTCCGTCGCGTCTCGACGCGACCGCCGTCTTCGTAATCCACTCGACCGCGACTGGGTGCCGCGACGATCGTCGTCGGTGCGGCCGCCGTGCGCGTCCACCTTTCGCGGTCGCGTGTCGTCGTAGCCGCTGTCGCGCCTGCACGCCTTCGTGGCGTTTCGTCGCGTAGGCGAACACGAGTCACGGGAGTGCGTGGGTACTCGCGGAAGTATCGATTCGCGCGAGTCGCCGGTGGCCACCGGAGAAAGAGAGAGAGAGAGAGAGAGAAAGCGAGAGAGAGGGGGAGAGAGAGAAAGAGGGAATTCACGCGCTCGTCGGGCTCGTTAAAGCGGCGTGCAGAAGCGCCGCTCGGCGCGGCGTCGCGTCGCATCGCGTCGCGCGTCGCTCCGGCGGCACGTATTCGCGATCGCTGGCGGGATCGCGCTCTCACTGCTGCGAACGGCGACGCGCACACAGCGCTGCCTATTCTCTCTCTCTCCTTCTCTCTCTCTCTCTCGCGTCCGAGCGGCGACGCGCGCCTCGGAGTGGCACAACACACGCCGCGGCGATAACGCACAAGGAAGGGACGCGCACATCGCAGGCAACGTCATCTCAATGGTGAGTCTGTGAATCAGCGGCGACGTCACGCGCGCGCGTCACGGCGAGTACGCGCTCGCTCCACCAGCTCGCTCGCACTCTCGCTTTTACTCTCGCTCGCATCCTAGCTCGCTCGCGCCCGCTGCGGCCCGGACGATGGCTTTGCTCTCGCCCGCTCTCGCAAACTTGAAGAGATAAACATCGTTACTGATAATCTCTTGTCTATACTGTTTGGAATCGCCGAAACCGCCTAGTTGCTGTCTTTCGGCCGTCGTCTGCTTCTCTCTCTCGCTCTCTCGCGTGACTTGTTCTCCGATCGTTTTGTCCCTTCTTGTTTTTTACACACCTCGTTTCGTCACGCCGTCCCGCATTCAAGTTCCTCGAGCGCGCTCCTCCATTGTATTATTTCCCGTCCTTTTCACGCTCCTTGAGATCGCGTGGGAGAAGGCGTGCGGCGGCGGAAAACGAAAATCGTGACCCGAGTGCAGAATGCGGCACGAGTTACGCGCGGAACGGCTTCATCCCGTCGTGAAATCCCCTAACGAGAATCGATGCATTCCGCCTTGTGGCCGCGATTTATCGTTTTCCGATGGCGCGGATATCCGAATTCCTTCGAGGCTGCAGTCTCCGACTCTGACAAGGGACAGCGAGCTGGATGTCAAAATTGGCTGGTAATTCGTCGATGATTCATCGCGGCGATGGCGCAATTTCCGGTTTGCGACGCACGTCGATAGAATCGCCGAGGAGGGGAAAAAAACGAAACGCCGAACGTTAAACTCGACCGGTGTTTCCTGACGTTATTACCCGCGTATTCATTTTCAGGCAAGAATGCCTCCTCCCTCCGCCTCCCCCGTCGAAGCTTTCCCTCTGACAATATCCGAGATTCGTCGCGCCTCGGAATCTCGGAAGCAGCGGTTCTTAGCCCGGAATGCGCGCGTTCCTCGCGGATGACGGCCGCGTCGCGGGGTAGATCAATGCAGGAACCTGTTTTCGTCGCCGACTTCCGACGTTCTTTCTTCTCGATCTCATCGGGAGATAACGCGAATCGCGTTGATTGCACGCTTCTTTCTCACTTCTCTTCACACCTGGCACTGGAACGTCTCAAGAAGGGTGTCGAGAGGTGTCAGTTGTCAAAAGATGGTTAAGAACCGCGGCTTTGAAGACTCCTTGCAGCGCGCACGATGTCCCTGACCTAGCGAAAGAGCCACCTTTCATTTACGAGTGCTTTAATCAATTTGCAGTCGCGTTTTCCACGACGTAAAGTATCGAGGAAAAGATCGTCGAGCGAATCTTGCCGGTTCCTCCGCGAATCCTCGAATATCTCGCGCGATTAACTCTCGCAAATCACAGACTCACCGAACCGAAGTTCTCTCGGGGAATCAACGAAGAGCAAGATTCGGCTGTCTGAAATTAATCGTCTGACAATTCATTTAATCCCGGGTAGAGTGTCTCTAAATGTAACGCGAATGGATCGCGCGTAGATGACGAGTGTTCTCCGTTTTAAATTGACATTTTCGATAAAAGAAATCGCCTTAGAAAATGATAAGACATTTATTTATGTGGAAATAACAGTCATAAAAGATTTTCTTTAAAATGAAAGTTCAGTCTCTAACTGACGAACACACGAGGAAGCACAAGATGGATACTCGTTAATATTTTCCGACGGATACCTTAGGTTTGTCCGTTTTAGCTGAACTAGCACCGAAATTCCATTACTTTTCCTTTCACTGCTAGGTTTGTACGCTTGACCCGCTCTAAAAGCAAAATGTGCAATCTAGTCCGGCTAAAATGAACAAGCCTATTTTAGTAGTGGATGGGTGACACTTATCATCTGTGCGATCACTGTACGCAGTGAAAAATTTTGTGCCAAAACTAGTCTACTAACTAGTCTGAAATTTCGTGTTACTTCAACACGGGGAATGTTAGAAAGCGCATAAATATAATGTAAAATTGATACATTCACCTTGCCAACGTATATTCAGTAGACAAATTTCAGTGGGCCGTTTTTACCACAAGATTTCTCCCTGAAATTTTTTCCTTGAAACTTAGAGTCTACTACCGTCTCGATATTTTCATCGTGGAGAACTTAGCGCGATAAGAAATTTTATGTTAAATTTAATACACCTCCCAAACGGTCCACTCAGATTTTTGTATTAATTTAACGCAAAGTAAATGTGTTGAAAAGTAACACAAATATTGTGTTGAAGATTAACACAAAATTAATACGTATTAATCGACACTGAATTATAAATGTATTGTTTTAACATTTACATATGTTGAATATCGAACATAACACAAAAAAATTTTAATAAATTTTTAATTAACACACGGGTGTGTTAAAAATGTTCAATGTAAAAATTTTAACAAGGACCGATTTTTTTACACAAACAAAACATTTATACTGTACTGCGGGTGATCGAGGAGTATTTTTGTTGCGTGGGAACACTTGGGCGTAACAAATAAATTAGCTTCTGCAACGATTCTTCGATAAATTGGGACTGGCCGATTTTACCGATTTTTCCGCCTCTTGACTGTTCCGTCCGCTGCGCCGTTCAATTTTTCATAACAACCGCGCGACGAAATGGAAAAGAAACACCACCTTGTCGCGTTTGTCACGTAATTTATAGCGAACTCTCATCTCGATCTGTTCAATTCTTAACACGACCTCGACAAGCCGTGCGAAACGCCGAAAAACCGTCGCCGCGGGGAAAAATACAGCGACGACCGGCGATCGATAGTATTGCTCGCGTCCTTCACGTTCCATTCTGCCGAGATTGGACCTTATTGTCTCGCGTAAGTTTCCTCGAGCTATCTTCTTGCCTGAAGCTATCGATCGGCAGCGAAAAACGGCGAGCAAATACCGCGGATAATGATGAGGAGATTCTACAGGATCGAAGTTAAAAAGAAGACAGGGATCGGTTTTTCTTTTATTATTTTTCCGGTGACACACAGATCGCATTTATCCGTTCGCTGGTAGCGCTGTCATAGCTGCTCCTTGGCTCGATCCTCTGCGCATAAATGCGTCCGCTATGACGATGTCCCGCGAACAGACGGATGGTGGTGAGAAGGATTCACCTCGGGGAGAAAAAGAAAATTGACAAAATCCGAATAAATCACCGCGACGAGGCGCGAGAGGCGTATAAATAATACGTGACAAAAGAGATCGCTGCACCTCGAGAGCGGAGAGGAGAAGGGGGAGGAGGAAAGATCGCGGGAAAACTAGGTTCGCCGTGATGTACCGGCGGATAATATCGATTGCAGCGAAAGCGAGTCGCACTATTATTATTATCCGATCGAATTCCACGTACATTCATAGAATATTACCCGTGACAGACATTGCGGCCGGTGAGAGAGTGTGCGCGAGCACGGCACTAGGGCCGTATAACTTCGTCCTTTTCCTTGATTTGTCGGTTAAACGAAGAACGTGACTCTCGTTCGGGCCAATTAGCGCGAGAAATAGGCTTCCCTTCGACCCGTGACTTCGTGCATTTGCGAACAAAGGACCGATTCGCCAATTATCGATACGATCTCTTTTTCGAGCGACGCTCCTTTTTTTGTCGTTGCTCTCTTCCCACTGTGTGTGTGTGTGTGTGTGCGTGCGCGAGACGAACATATATGTATCGCGCGAAGCACCCACCTGACTCACTAAAAATAGCGGCTGTTTTGTTCGTGGGTGTTGTTTGTTGTGTGTATGGGTGGGTATGTATATATGCGTGCGTATGTGTGTACGTACATATGAGCGACTTCGCTTACTCGTTCGCTCGAGTGGCGGAGCTTGTTTCGAAAAAAGTGATGAATTATTAAAGACGCGCGCTCCTACGAACGAGGAGTTTTGTATATATTTCTGCGAGATATAAAAGAAAAATAAGATCTCTCTGTCGTTCCCACATTATATCGCCCGAACTTTGTCGTTGCAATTCTAATGAATTATATCAGGACCCCTGGGCGCAATCACGCGCGATTTTCGGCGATAAATTATTAAGCCGAGATGCAAATGAGGAAATTTTTCCGCGCGTCACCATGCGCTTTCGATGAAGCAGCCTTTCGAAATACCGGCCGGCTTTGTTTTTCTGCTCGCGAAAAACTGCCCGGTTATAATTTAAGACGATGGGCGAGTCTCTCAGCCTCCGAACGAAGTCGCGTCGTTCCTTAATAAGAGAAGTCGATGCTTCTTCTTATTTTGATTGAATTCCCGCCCATTCATTTAGAAAAAGAGAGGAGAAAGAGGAAGAGCAGAATAATAAAAAGGTTAATATAAAATTTTGCAAATACAACGAAGAGGGAGCGACTCATTCGATGCTGTGCTGTGAGAAGAAAATTTCGCTTTGATTCGCCGCCTTGACGTCACAGCTCGATATGGCTGCAACGCGACGTGTCGGAAGCCTTAATGCCTCTGAAAGATGATTTAGTTGTCCCCGTTAAGGGAGGGAGCACCTCTCAATTTGGCGACGCGCGTAATATCAGCGGACTAAGTGACGTACAATATCGGCGACGGCGACGCATACGACGTCGATATGCGGCCTTTTTTATTCTAGCGGAGCGACGCGGAGATCGTTTCGTCCTGATAAGCTTACACGACACGTGCACCGTCTTACTTCATCATCGAGTCTTTCCAGGTATCGCCGTCGGCGGTGGCTTCACGTGGAAATTAACGTCGCGCACACGACGTAAGTTTTCGTGAAAATCCGCATGTGTGTCCTGAGCTCCCGCGAGCATCACAAGTCATCACGCTCAGGGACATCCGTGGGTATTTCGAAGTTGCGCGTTTCTCGTATAAAAATAGAAGAGGCGCGCGCGTCCATTTTAATCTCTTTCTCCGCTCCGCCGCGGGGAAAAAGATATCGAAGTGTGTTTCTGGCGACGCACAACGTTCGACTCGCAACTTTTTCTCGCAGAGAAAAAAAAACTAGTAAAAATAGTAGACTAATTTGTTTTCTATTGTTTCTCCGCGCGCACCCCGCGAGATTGATCTATTTATACAGATTTTAGGTAAATTTACCGCGTCTGAGAGACGTTATTTCTGCTTACCACGATCTTTCTATGCACGGAGAGGGGGAGCGAGGAAAAAATCTGATGTATGATTCCTTGGAGATTTGAATTTTAAATCCAGCCGGCAAAAACGCCCACGATCGCGGATGACTATTCCAAGGTAGAACTGCCGGTTTTTATCACCGCGTCATATGATAATTTTTAGGGACCGGAAGTGTCTCAGCGTGATTGCGTAAGTGAACGCTCACACATCGATTCCCGAGCGAGTCGCCGATTGCGTCAGAGGTTTTTCCTTTTCGCGGTGTGCGTGTCTTCCTTTCTTCTTAGGATAAAACACTTGATACGACGTATAGACGTCTGGCTTTGAATACGAGCGAGCTCGTGCTCGTGTTCTCTTTGTATTAGCGCGGTAGCCGCGCGTATTAAAGCGCGCGTGGATACCCGCATAAAACAAGATATTATTTTCTCGTTACACCGAAACTTATTTCGCACCTGCATGTATTCTCTTCCCCTTTGAAAGCTCTTTGTTACGTCGAGTTTCCCGAAAGGTCAATTCCTGCAAAAGCCCCCGTCCGACAGATTCGAGAAATTGCTTTTTCTTCCGCGAAAAAATTTGCAATTCACACCGTTCAGCAGAAATGACGAGTTCTTGACGGATAACATTTTTACCGAGACGACACAGGTGTCGTGTTTTCAATTGAAAATACCCCGCTGACGTATCGAACTTCTCTTCGCCGAGCACACCTGGTAATAGTACATCAAGGCAATCCCGCCTTTTACGTAACTTTCGTCGATTTCACGCTCGTCCTCGCGCGAGGGAGACGCTTTGGAGTTTCGGGAAATCTGGGGGGAAAACCGGGGGAAATTCGCGCGTGTCGGACTTATCCGTTCGTTGCCTTTCGGGGATGCATCTCGGTGCGCCTCGGCGGCGTGGGTAACGAAAACGTACGTACGCCATTTAGCTCGTTCGGTTCTCACGACGGTGCGCGACTCCGTCTCTTTTTTTCCTCCTTTGTCATTCTCGCGGCACCACGGTACGGGCTATGAGCTACGTACAATGTAAACAGCTTTATCATGCACAACAGTCGCTACGTGGGTGTGGGTGCATGAATCATGAATGAATATAAAGCAACTTCGATGTATGTATTTCGCCGCACGTATTCGCACGACGTACGCGGCCGGGTATTATCTTCCAAGGTTAGGTGGCGGTTATGGAAATTTGTGTGCTTGCGGAAATGGTGCACTCGGTATGCACCTTCGATCACGGATTAAGCTCGTGAATTAAAGGTGCACCGCGGTCCGAGAATCGCCGGTGGGGAAAATCGACGGTCGCAAATTTCGATGTTTCGCGATCTGCAGGAGGTTTCTTCGCTTTCTTTTTTTTTTTTTCTTCGTCGGCACCGAGTCCATGGAGACATCCTGCCTCTCTCATCTGTGTTACAGAATTATCATTTTATTCGTCTCGAACGGCGGTACGCTAAAAAGTTTAGAGAAAAGGGGAAGAACAAACAAGACAAAAGAGACAAAAAACAAGACAGAGGGTAGACGCGACAGGACCTTTTTTTCTACATGACGCTAACCTTTCTTCATTTTCGGAGAAGCATGAATATTCAAAGTAATGTGTTAAAACACTCTACACTTTTGCGTTCTCGATCGCGATTTTCCGCGTTTCGTCGCTGCTCATGAAGCTATCTAAGCATCTAATCATCATAAGTGTCGTTTGCATATCGACGCGATAATAATTGTCTTGAATAAATATCTCCAGTCGGCATTACGTTTAAAAAAAACGGGGTTTCTTTTCTCCTCGAATATAAATGATACGTAAAACACTCGCGCACGTCACAGGTGTAGTTTTTGCATATAGCGCGCGACAGTCGTCCCGAAAAAATATTTGCGATCGGCGTCGCCGGCGAATTTTTTTTCGCGCGCGGAGCAACCAGATACAGGTGATGTCAGCGCGATGATATCGATATCGCATATAAACACACAGGAATCATACGGAAAATGAGTCACCGGGATCCATTGTATGCCTTCTGACAGGCAATTTACCTTGGTTTCCGAAGAAACTTTTTTTCCGCGGACTCGACGTTACGCGTACGTGCATCTCGGCACGCGCGCGCGGACCGCTCGTCTCGGACGCGACACCGTTGTTCAGATTTTTTTTATTACGATGCCATCATGAGAGAGCGACTTGTAACACGACGAAAACGCCCTCGATCAGGTGAAGCTGCGCAAAGTGTCGGCCGATGACGGCGCTTCTTCGACGGCGGCGGGAGATTGCCTCGCTGTTTCCGGCTACGGGTCGCTCAAGGGATCTCGAAGGAAGCGACTCGTTCGTGTAAAAGGTATCGTTTTGCTCAGCACCGTGCTCTCTCTCTCTCTTTCTCTATCTATCTATCTCTATCTATCTATCTGCCTCTCTCCTTGCCACTAATGCCTCTTAATTACTCCCCTCGCATCAGCGTTTCGACTAATTTCCTGCGACAGCGGCCCCTTTGCGAGTCATTCTCGCGACGGTAATTTCTTCGACGAAAATTTCGCAACGGATTCGATGGGATTCCACGCTTGAAAAGTTAATGACGGGCTGGATTGTATCGACAGTATATGTTTCAGAAGTCGGTAATGACGCAATATCCGTATCACGTCGATCGTAAATTAATTGCTAATAAACTCGCCGATCGGTTATTTAAATAACAACCAATACCATCGCGCTCTCTTCGCGAAAGTGTGTCGTTTCGAATTCAACTCATATATCAGTCCGTAAAATATGAATTTCGACGAATTAAAGAGAGTTTTTTGCTGCTTTGTATTATTTCCTCCCATTCTCTCTTTATCTCTCTATCTCTCCCGAATAAGTAGTATTCGTAGTATCTGATAATTTGTAGTTGTTAACATCTGATTGATGTTGATTCTACGACCTCCGCTTTGCTCTGCAAATTATACACGCTTCGGAGAAATATATACTTGTATTTGATGATAGCTTTTGTGTGTGTGTGTGTGTTAGTGTGGGTGGGTGTGTGTATGTTGTGCATTTATAGTTATCTGATATTCTCAAATAACCACACGCGAACACGGGAAGATAAGACGCGTCTCGCGATAAAATCAAAGTCTCCGCCGACGATGGGTTATCGATTTTCGCGCGACTGCTACCTGCGTATTTACCTCGCGAAATCCCAGTTATGTCATGCGCTGTTCTCGATTCGCGAGCGTATCGTAATATATCGCTCCGATTGCAGCGGGGCAGTTATTTGCTCGCGGATCGCGGCGTATTTTTTCGAGGAACAATTATGTTCCCGAAATCGGCCGCCGATCGGAACGGACATTTCGCAAAATACTACCATTGCCGCGCGTATTTTGTGCACCATCAAATATGTCGCATCTACAGCTTCGACTAATTGCGCGTTGGGAGGGAGGGTGGGAGTGCAAATTGCGTGACATGCACATTGCGTTCAAGGGAACGATTAACAATTGTAACATTGTTAATCTGCAATTGTAAAATCGATCGTCACGATTACGTCGCATACATGACGAGCGGATTTTAATTAAATTTCCTTCGCATTTCGTGCACAGAGATAAAGAGTTTCTTTAGATTTAGTATTTCTAAAATTTTAGCTTTATAGAAACAACATATATATGAAATATTATTTGTTTGAGTAAAAATTTTGTCGTCTCATACAAGAAAACTCCATTACTTAACAGAAAGAATGCTATTATTTGAAATAATGTCCTAACCAAATAAAATATTATTTGGTCGCAATAAATGTATGAAATGAACAAGTAATTTCTTTATAAGAGAATTATCTTTCGTTTCAGACAAATTTTTTTATTTAAGGTAAAGATACGCATTCGTTGAATAGCCTAACATACTTGTTAACATCATACTTGTTAATCGAAACATTAGTTTCTTTGGAGCCGCTGATGAAATTTGTTTGGATGCGATGAAATTTATCAAATCCGAAGAAATCTTTTTCTCAGTGTACGTTCGATTGACAACAGCTTCGAAAGTATTTACTTATTTACGAGGAGAGATGTAACTGAAACGTCGTTTCCCGACATTTCTTTTCCCACGTTGCAACTCCGTTTTCTGCTATTTCCATCACGTTGATAATTTACATTTTAATTATAGGTACGACTTCTCACGTCGCGAGGAATCTCCGCGTTTGGAGGGGCGTTTGACGTTTTTCAGATTACGCGAACGCATTCGGCCGGGTTACCCCGGTTGACGTAAGATTGACTTCGAAATTAAATCGCAGTCTTCCCGCGAGATGAACAACGCCGACAGTTCGTCAGACGCATTTCGCGTATCTTCCAAATATCTCAGCTGTGTACACACGGCGGCGGTCGGTGTCATTAGCGACGCGTCATTAGCGGGACGAGCGAGTTTCAAACTTTTCCTCCTCCGTTGATCTCTCCGTGGCAGTTTCACGTGGCGAACGCTGCGGTCACAATCACCTTCGGCCGTGCTTATCGCGATACGTAAACACCCAATCACGTAGATATGGGTCATGTTTCGATACACGGACCTCGTGAGGAGGCAGATAATGTTTTCGACGACGGATACCTGGCGGTTCACGAAGAGGGTAAAGCATTATGATTAGATTAGTCGTCGTTCGTCGTGTCTGCGTTCGTTCGTTCGCGTGATTCACCGAAAACGAAAAATCCTCTCGGGTCTTGAGGGAAACTTGAGGGCAAGTGACGGATTCGTGTTCCGGACAGAACACACATATACACACACACATACACACACAGATGGTCGATGAAATCTTCATCCTTCTGAATCTCGACGTTTGCATCGAGCGCTCCGCTATTTTTCTCACTTGGCCGTAAGGTGGGGATTTATGTCGTCTGTTTTACGAGAGAAGGCTAGGCTATTTACGGAAACGGGGTTAACAAACTGGTAGTCCTTCCCTTCTGGCCGCGAGAAGATGTTATAAATCTCGTTTGACGATGTGCAGCTCGAGGTCGGAGAGCGGCGAGTCCACGCGCGTTTTGAGTGTTTCAAAATCTCCCCCGACCTGAACGCCCGGTCGTAAGGGAAAAGGAAAATGCTACGAAATTTCTCTCTCCAAAGGCCTTTGCGTGTAAGAAATTTTTCATCACAACCGCATAATCGCAATCGATAATTCTCCGACCGCAGGGAGAATAATCAATCGTGATTGGCCAATTTTCTCACAAATTTACGGTTATGACTAAAAATTTCTTACCTGCAAAGGCCTTTACATCGAGAAAAAAAAAGAAGAATTGTGGAAGCAATGAGATTTTGCTTAAACGAAACAAATTTTCCCAAGCACCACGTTTAGTCCACCGAACGGAATGTACACAGAAAAGAAATAGTCTTGAATCAACGATAGATATCCTCGTGTACAAGCAAGAATGTTATAACGTTGTAATATTCTTAGAAGATTTCTAGTCTTGAATCGAGTGCAAGTAATACTTGCATTAATACAAATTCAATCGAATCAAGATTAAGAATCTCCCGAGAAGATTATAACATTTATTATTATTATTTAATAATATTCTTATTTATACATTTATGAGAATATGTATTAATCATTTAAGAATTTTTTTTCCGCGTACAGTTGCTGTAATTTGTTATCAACTGATTCGAAGATTTGATCAGTAATTATATCAATGCAATGTATTGTCGCGTCAACGCGTAATTCGTTCAGTGGATACAATATTTTTTCGAACGAAGATTACCGTCGATTTTGTCGATTCAACCGCTTTTTCTTCCCCCCGGTGTACACTTTAATTACTCTGTACTCGTTAATTTCTCGATCTGTCTGGCATGCAGATACCGGCTGTACCGAGTGACATACGTCGAGAGTTACAGTTCACCGTTTCCGTGTGTAACGCAATCGATCGTTTTCCTCGCGATCGTTCTCGCGTGCTCCGCGCCGTAAAGCGCGAAATGTAATTAGAGTGCTACAATGTAATTAAGGAGGTTAAGCTGTCGTGTTATGATGTAGATAGGAATTTATGCGAAACAGGGCGAGCGCCCAGAAACGACATTGAATTAAGCGTGATATCGCGTCCGGCCGTGCATTTTCACCCCGAAATCCGTCGGTGGGTTGTGAGTAGAGTTGACCTACTTTAAAAGAAAGAAAACTTATCAATTGCGCGGAAACGTCTCCTTTTGACGGCAATTCGATGTGTCACGCGTTAGAAAAAATTCTCGATGTGTCATCGTGGCGTGCAATTAGCTCACTCGAATACGATACGATCGCGATAACGAGCGATTGAATTATTAAAACGATCCTGAAGTGAGATATCTCTAATTAACGACGCGCATATCTCATATCTCGACGTATATACGCGCTTTATTTTCCATGATACTGTCGTTTTCACGCGTCGACGAGCGAGCCACACGATTTCCTGCGTATCTGTCGCCTCGCCTTTTTCATTATCAAGTCGCGATTGACTTTTTACTATCGCATCTTAACTTTCTTAATGGAGCGTCGGCGAGGCAATCCGGCCCGAGACAGCCGTTATTATTCATGCATTCGTCTTGTTCCTTTCTGTCTCTAATGCGTGATATTTTTACATGCTCTTCCTCGCGTCGCTTCCGCCGATCGAGCTAACATTTACGTGTCCGTTTATCTCTGCTTACATGTCACCGAGTCATCTCGTTTACGACGATTAAGCGAACAAAAATTATTAACTCCCGATTCGTGCGACGTGTCTGAGGAGGACCGTCAGTCGAACGAAGACCCTCTCGAGAAAAGGGAGAAACATAGAAAAGTTGACGAGAGAGAGCCAAGGACAAAAACTCTTGCCATCTGTTCGCAGTGCTGAGGATGTTGACGCCGAGACGCGCTGGCCCGGTTGGCCCCGAAGAGATCGGCGCCGACGGGCCCAACGACAAGGGCGTGAGCAACGCGGAGAGCGGCTCGGTCACCCCCGGCGGCTCCTACGAGAGCGGCGACGGCTCGAAGGAGTTCCTGTCAACAGGAAGGACCGGCAGGAGGAACGCACTACCGAATATCCTTGGCCGACATGCCGAGACCGGTCTGTCCGACCTTCCAGATCGTTTCGGCGCGTTGTCCACTCACTCAGGTGCCGGTCTAAGTGTCGCACACAACAGCTCCACCGCGCTCATCGCAGCCCCGCTTCCGCGGCGCGGGGCGCCTTGAGATTTTCGTGTAATTTCTCTAATTTACATCGAGCTGCTTGTTTCTTCTCCTCTTTTACAACGCACTAATTTGACTCACGGCCGAGACGAGGAAGAGTCGTCAGTCACGGAAATCGGAAAGCCGATGGACTGCGTATTTTTGTATCGGATTCTTTCGTCGACAAATCGCACGGACGATGCGTAATAAATCATTCAAGGAGAGATTTGTCTTCGCATCGTGCACGACTTCTCACGCGCGCGCTAATTCGCCGGGTGTAAACCACCCAGAACAACGGGAAATTTTTTGTTGAATAACACAGCATGCTAATGGAGCATAATTTATTAGACTTGTATTGCGCGACTAAGATATTGAAACGGAAATTTATATACGACAGCAAAAAAATAATAAACGAATAGTTTGATCGAATATGTTTTTCAGCCTGATTGTATATAAATTTACCATACGTGCAGAGAAATATCAGGAAGATAAAAAATATTTCATACCGATGTATGCATTTTCGACGTTACAGTTTGGACAGCATGTTATTTCTAATACCGATCCAATATAGAAAAAAGTTTTGTCTCAATTAATTAATTATTGTGTAACGTATACTGTTATTATATATGCACGTCAATCATCTGACAATCCTGTGTCGGTCAGTCTTGCAATATTATCCATGTCAATATATTGTTTTAATATACTCTCCGAGTCTTTGCTTATTAAAATCGCTTTAATTTTGTATGACGAAGAACGTGAAAACGTTTCAAAAAAAAAAAAAGATGTTTCTGGACATATCAAATATTAAAAAACGTAAAGGAGGAAGGGAAATTCGCAACATTACTCAGAATCTGTGAATGACGGGACAAAATTTTATAAATATATATATTATTTTATTAATATTTTTGGTAAGCATTCTCGTTTATTGATTACGGCAAAACAACCGTGGTTACGCCAGATTTCTTTCGAAAAATCGTTGCGGACCGTCTTTTGATTTGACCCTGATCTGACGATAACCTTACCGGTAGTTCGAGCCGACCATTACTTTATAAATTTCCCATACCGCTTTGAAATGTTTCAACGTTGTAAGTATACCCTAGCTGAGTAAAGTTACTATCGTACTTTTTCGGCTCATAAATATTTATATCTTTGAAAAAAATTATCTGCGTGTAGGTGTAGTAAAGACAGACCGAGCTAATGTCTAATGTCGGCAGTGAAGAGAGAAAGAGAGAGAAGATCAAGTAGAAAAAATATTACCGAGGCTTTTTCAAATGAACGTCTGCATTAGCAAATTCCTTTGGTTGACTCGAACGAAATTTGATTAGGATATAATCAAACAAATGTTTTGGTTATGAGAACCAAAATGTGGTTTTTCTAAACCAAACGTTTGGTTTCTTGAAACAAAAAAAAAAAGGTGAAGAAAAGTTTGGTTTCGGAGAAATCTTCAAAAAATTAAATTTTGGTTTCTCACAATCAAAATATTTGTTTGAGCACATTCCAAGCAAATTTTGTTTGAGTCAACTAAATGGGTTTTCCAGTGTGGATACTTCCACTTCTTTTTAGAGAGGACGTTAAAGAAAGACAGAACCACGGTAATTGCCTTCCTTCGTCTCTTTCTACATGATTTTCAGGTCTTGCATCTCACGCTCAGTCTATATTTAGTACGTCTACGGTGTAAACATTCTCTTCCGACTCTTCCTCAATATCGACTATTCACCGTCCCCGCCACGATTCTCTATGGTTTGCGCGAGTGCGAGGTATACAATTTTTTTGCAATTCGACTTCGCACGATTCCTCGCACTTTGTAACGAATTTTTATTTTTTTAATTGACACGAAATCGGAATATATCCTGTATTGACTGTTTTAACGAGTATATTTTGACGTTTGCATCGGCCGCACTCGAGTTTGTGTGTTCCAGGTATCCGTTCCGAGAGAACAAGAAACACTCGAGTTATTTGTTGCAGATCAGTCCAACACCAGCGGACAGGACCCGAATATACCGGGCACTTCGAAACAGCATGGCTGACATGGCCGTGAGGCTTCGTAGCGAATCTTGTTTACGACACTTGGCCTCTCCCCGTCATCGATGTCGACCACAAGGGGGAAACATTTGGCGTTTCTGTGAACGAAGTTCTCGAACGTTCCTTAACTCGACTGTTATGGCCACCAGGCGAACGACGTGTCGTTTTGTCGATTGCTAGAGAATGTTAGAATTTGACGGAGAGATAGAGCTGTAGGGCTCGAAGCGAGTCGCATGATCGAAGGGGGTACGACTGAAGGCTCGTAGGGGCGCGACGAGTCTGTAATTTATGAAATTCGCCTCGAGTGTGGATTCGTGTCCGGGAAAATCCGTTCCCGAGGCTCGTCTCAGGCACGATCTTGTATCCGAAGTGAGCATTGTAAATTACATATTCATCCTTCATTTTTATGATAAATCCTCCAAACAGCATACACACACACACACACACACACACACACGTACGCATACACACACACGCGCGGACTCAAGCGTGCGCTCGAGAAGAGAAGCAGCTATTTTTGCTTAGGTAAGGCCGATCCAAGCAAAGTATTATCCGAGCGAAATTACTTTCGCTCACGAAAGCTCACGCAGAACGTTAGAACTATAATGTACGTTCCAACTTCGTCGCGTTCGGAGTGATGCGCAGTTCGATTCGGTGAAGAATTTGTGCGAATACAAACGGATAAATCTAAGATTAGCTGTAAATTATATTACATCGATTTTCTTCTCGTTCTTTTCTTTCTTTTTCTTTTTTTTTTTATTTTTAACGAATCATGACGAGCAAGCTGAAATATAGCATTCGAGAGTTTGTTAAATGTGGTAAATATTTTGCATTATATGTATTGTATTTTTAACGCGTAATGTGTAGTTGTTATGTACAAAAGAGGCTTTTTTTTTAACCGATAGCACGTCTTTCTTAGATACTCTATTTTTTATTATAAAAATAACAGTATATATTCGTAAATATTCCAACCCCCGAATTCCAGGTGGAATCCAATAACCAATGAAATTGCCGTGCGTGTATCGGCTGTATTTCCCATATAATTTCATCGCATTTTATTAACTCTTTGCGTCAAACACGGTGCGTAATTATCGGAACGTTTTACGCGAGCCGTTTGTCTTTTTGGACACAATTACGGTCGCATGCCGCGCGTCGCGATTGTACACGCGGTGTTAATTGTTTTACGTTACGCGATTATCGATCGTGGTCTCGATTAATGGGCGTTGCGTAGAAGAGGATCCGTAGGGACGGGAAATGTATCCGTCAAGAAGAAGCTCTCGTCGGGCTAATTTAGGCTCCGTGCTGTTGTTAATCGATTCTGCAAGTTCCGCCCTACCTACGATTAGCGTAGCGAGAAAAAAGATTAATTGTACGCTCTTGATAATGAAGAACCGCGTCGACATCGGTATTATTAATACAATGTAATACAATTAATTCGTGATACTGTGAGTATTAATTAAAAAAATACATGGTATATCGTAGAACTGTACAGTGCGTCCCACCCGAAAATACGTGTGTATTTTATGACGCAACTCCGACGTACCGGAGTGTCCCCGTCTCTGTAAACACGTTTCGTGTCGGGCCGTTTTTACGTGACTTTCAACTCATGCTGCGTTATCAATTCACCGAAAACGACACATGGAGATTGATAAATGATATAAATAAACATGATAACAAAATATACGAATGAGTGATAAGACAACTATTTATTTTACATTGAGACAAATATTTGATATTTGTAACTATCATAATGAGAGAATTATAGTCAGGAGAGTCATTTTTCTAATAAATGTTACTACAGCGTCAATGATAATAATCTTATATACATATTGCGATTACTATTTTTATGGTTAAAACCATGAAAAGGGTATAGTTGAAGCCGAAAATAATTAATTCCTCTCAGTATATTTTGTCTTTTAACCCTCTAACGGTAAGATGGGGTCGAATCGACCCCACGTCGTTCATCTTAAAGCATGCACGCGCTGTTTCTCTGCTTAATGAATATTTCGTGTTATTATATTTACTTCTTTTACCCATTTTGTACATTAATTGCGTGAAAAATGAACAAAACTGAACGTAAAGTCGAATCCAACCTTACTTTTCTGATACTTTTCTTTCTACGTTGAAAATTCACTTTGCCATTCGAGAGTTAATGACAAAAATATCAGCGTTGACGTGAGATCGAGTTCAGCGTTTACCGAGAAGAACGGCACATGTATCACGTGTTGATTAAGTTTGAGAATCTTCGAAATTGCGACGAACGACGGCCTCATTCGGTCCCCACTCCCGCCCCAGGGTCGAGGAATAATCGACTCAGGGGATCGATTTGTCGTGAGGGCGGTGTTCGCCGAGACACATTTTCCCGAGACTTTTCCACATGTTTCTAACGTTAACGGGCACCCCGTGTCCGTGCTTTCTCGACGGATGTTCGCGTCTCTCTTCCTTGACGAATTTTGCCGCAGAGACTTATATGTACAAGACAGCAGAGAGGACACGCGAGGCCCGATGAAGCGGCTTGTTCTCCCCTCGACACGCGCGGCATTTTAGGCGCGAGTCGCGCCGATGAATTCTGAACAATTTGTTTACACGGCAACGTTAATTCCGGTTTAGCAACAGCAACCGTAGTTAGTGAACTCTTGCATTCACCCGGGAACATATTTTCAGAATTGAAAGAATACACCGATCGGATGCACGAGTTGACTAACTACCAGTTGTTACTAAGCACGGATTACACGTTGTCGTGTAAACGTAGTCGCAATTTAAATCTAGCTGCATCTGTAAGTGCGTGAGTCTCGACGAGGTCCGCGGAAATGGACGAGATACATACGGCGGCTCCACGATTTCGGCCGCGTTATCGAATAAAGCTGAGATATCTCCGGTAAGGATGACGCCGGAGACGCGTGTGATAAGCAACGACTGATAACGGTCTCTCCGCCGAGGGAAGTTTGCGTCGCGTCGTCCGGATCAAACGCCTAGCTTGAGATGTCGCGTCGTTTCTTCGCGTTCGTCTCGCGACGGGGGACTCGAGGGTCGGTAATGTGCGCTTTTTCACGCCTGCGTACCTGTTTTTCATATAGTCAATAACGGTAATAATAACACTTTAACGAGGAACGACCGCGACAGTCGAGTCGCAGACGATCCAAAAAGGTAACTCGATTTTTATCCACCGCCGGCGATTGTTGCGATCTCGCGACACGCGAGTATTCCCGTATACAACGCGTGCACACATACACGCGCGAGCGCGCGCGCAAACACATACATTCGACGTATGTTCGAGGCGAAAGAGAGAACAAGGAGGAAAGCGAGTGAGGAAACGCCTACGTTTCTCCCACCCCTCGCGCGAAAACGCGGATGCGCGCGCTCGATAAGCGCTGATAAACGGTCTATGATATGATGCGATAATTATCGTTAAAAACCATAATAGGATTCGATCGAGGCGGCGGAAGTGCCGGTAGCGCGTCCCCCATGGCCTTTGTTTGCGTAACAATTTACTCTTAGACTCGCGCGCGCGCACGGCGCGTGATCGGCACGAATTGTGAAACGTATGTACGTTACTTCTACTTGTGGCAACACAATACAATCTCGATTCGTATGTGAGCGAATTCCTTATCTCACGTGTCGCCTTATCCCGACTACCATCCGGCGCGATCCCGATTCTGCGAGGAGGAGGAACACTTCAAACATGTCTCGAGGGACACTCGAGAGTTCCCCGCATCGTGTTTTCCCAGCATTCGATGAACTCACGGTATCGGTGTCGTTCGAAGCTCTCTACTGTGTAAACACGAGAATCAGAGCCCTCGAGTGCTCGAGTCAAGATAAAGTGATTATCAGATGTAGCTTGTTTCATTGTTGCCCCATCTTTCCCCAAATTTTCGTCTACAGGGTGTCTCAAAGTTAGACTGACAAACTTCGGGCGCTTTTATAAAGGACCAATTATCAAAACGGATAATTTTCTTCGGCAAACTTATGCTCGCTAATGAGACGTTTTGGTACAGCTATTTACAGCAGTTGTTCGCAGAATTATTTCAATATAGAGAATTTTTTTCTCGTTCCAGTTTTGTTGATCTCTTGATAAGAAACATTAATAAAAATTGTTTTATCAAACTAAAGATCGTTGGAAATTTTCAAAACGTTAGAATTAGTATCGTTCTTTACTCGCGAGCTCAGTATCACAGCGTTTCTTTATTGTTTGTTCGAAATTCGTTTTTAAAATGCAAATTTTCTTTCGATAAACCGATATGCATTTTATTTATGGAGAAACTAAATGTAAATGGCCAACACTTCGAGCAACTGCTGTAAATAATTCACTCTCGTGTCAAAACGATTCATTTGCGGATATGCGAGATTTATTAACAAAAATTACGTATTTTAATATCTTTTATAAGCATCTGAAATCTTTGTCGTCTAATTTCGAGACATTCTACATATTTACTTTTGCACTTTGCGATTTCTTTTTACATCACATTTTATGTCAGAAATCATTCCTTCACGTGCGGATTATTTCTCACGTATATAAAAAGTAAGTTGGAAAGACTTGCATTGTGTATAAAACAGATGGATGAAGAAGGGCCTGGGGGCAAAAATGTCTCATATATAATTATATTCCAGCGTTTCGTATATAATTATATATAATTACATCTAATTATCTGTGAAAAATTTCCCGGGCAAAGAGACGAAGAAAGAAGATTCCCCGTCGAACGTGGTTCGAAGTGAAGTAATCTCAGGCAGGAGAAATGGTGGCGATAAAACAATTCCACTCTCTTTCTTGCGGTTTCCGGTCCGCGCGATTAACACGCGATAACGATCGCGTCCGTTGTTGATACATGCACCGGCGTGTGTCACTTTAATATGGCGCACGGACAATCGACGTTACCGCCGAGAGCTGCCCTTTCAGCCGACGAGGACCGTTAAACCACGCAGTCGCCGGCTCGCGAACCGGTCTCGCGGTAAACAGGATCTATTGGCTCTCGCCTGGTGCATAATAAAAGGGAGGATATTAAAGTAGGCCGCGGTCTGCGCGGGACGAGCCACGTGTGTGTATGTGTGTTTGCATGTGCGAAAGTACGCGCCAGCTCGCATACACACATACACACCTATGCCACGCATGTCGTCGTCGTCGTCGGAGACGACGGTGGCAGGTGTGGCATGACAATGGAAAAATTCCGTTTGCACAGCCTGTCAGGAAGACGGAGGAGCGTCCACGTGCGTCGTCCGGAAAATGCCCGCGCGACAGGGACGCAACAAAGACGAGAGAGGGGAGAGGGAACGGTCGGCAGAGAAGCAGACGATGGTGATGCGTTGTCCGGTGACCTATTTTATAGGGGAAGATCCAACGCCGCTCGCGAAAAGCGAAAGAGAACGGTGACGGAGAGAGGAATGTGTCCGAGTGTAAACGTAAGGGAGACACCGGTGCAGGTTCGGTATTCTTCAGAATTTCGGCGTCGTAATCTTTCAGACGACTAATCGGCACGGTTGACCATGCAACGATGATAGCAACAATTTTCTTTTATATTTCTATGTTATGCTACGAAAAATCCTGTAATCTATGTGTAGTTTCGTCTGTAATAACCGAAAAATGTGAAGCATCTGTGCTGCGGTATCAAGGTAGGTCCGAAAGTAGCCTCCCAGGTTAACATTATATGATAATAAGTATCATTATGCATATTAAGAGATGTGCAGAGTGTTGCATCAACATACAGCTCGTTACAACGGGTTGCACGCTCCAGGGGCACGCGTGAGTAAGCGAGAGCGCACCGCGCAAACTCAGGCAGGTCTCTCTCACTCTCTCATCGCGCGCCTTTGGGCAGGCAACCCGTCGTAATGAGCTGTGTGTTGATGCAACACCCTGTATTTATATTTGGAGCTATTTAGTAATAAATGAGAGGTTTATTTATAACATCTTTTCAAAATATTTTGTGTGTGTGTGTGTGTGTATATGTGCGTGTGAATATTACTTTTATTACACAAATCAATATATCGTACAGCTGCAGAAAAGTTCATTTTAACTAATTACACGTCATTCAAGCTTGTCCAGTCAGGATGAAGAATATTAAGAGAAAATTTCGAGACGCTCGAGAATTTATTCAGCTGTTCTCGGATCACATCTTTCTTCTTGTCAACCGTAATATTTTCTTGATTTTAATAAAAATCGGAGATTAATCTCGATGTTCTGAAATATTTTTGCATTGTTTCTTTCACAATAAATATATAAACGAGACGCTTTTTCAACCTGCTTCGGTTTCCCTTATCTGATCGACCTGAGTGCAAAACTTAGTGGCTAGCTACTACAGATTAGATTAAATTTTCCAGCTCGTTACTAGGTTGTTACCGACTGATTATTATTAATTCATTAATTACTTTACCACAATTGAATTTAATACGTAGAACAGATTTTGTAATCTAATCGTTGTTTAACTAATATATATCATATATAATATAATAGACGACGCTGTCTATCCTAGACGACGCTGTCTATTCAAAAATTTATAATATAGCTACTGTGTATCCGTCACTAATATTTAAAAATGAAGTAGTAAATCAAAATTGAGGTTACGTTATATTCTATAAAAATCTTAAAAAAAAAACAAAAGTGAACATTGTATTATTGTCTGCGTAATTAATTATGATTTTTCATTTCGTAAGAGACAACTCTGTAATTTCCTTTGTTTAACCATCAACTAACTTATTTATCTAGTTGCTTATCTAGCTGCTAGGAAGAATGGGTGTTACATTATTAGCCGGTAACAACGTTAGATACAAGTTTACTATCTTGTTAAACACTCACGAAGTTCAATCTTTACGACTGTGTGCACGTTGTCTCTTTGTTGCGCCTACAGCGCCTTACGCGTCGTAGATTAAACATATCGCAGAAAAATATTTAACGAATCCTCGGTATAATTTGTTCGTTCGCACCTTCACTTTTAATTACGTCGCGTTGGACGCGCAGAACACGCTTTTTTTTTTAAAGAGGCGATCTTGTTTTCATGATGTACCTCTCATTAACATGCCGCAATTACGATTCCGCTGTTCTCCTCGCGATGTCATCTACTTGGAAAAAAATCGACTCGCGTGACTCGGAATATTTTTACGGCGAAGTCGCCCGACTCGCTTCGTTGATTAACCTAATGATCGCGTGTCATTTAATTGCTCCTTGCAAATCAAAGCGATTCATAGCGATCGTCGTTCGTGAATCGTTTAAATTAACGAAACTTTTTTCGAAATTTTTTAAATTAACGAAACGATTTTCGACTTGCACAAACTTCGAGATCCGCGAGAGCATCGTCGTGGCTGGCGCGCGTCTGCGCGCGTGAGGGGCGGCACAGTATATTTCCACACTGTCAAGATTTACAAGGATATCAGCTGTTTACCGAGATCTCCCATATCAGGACTGCTGGTCTCATTTGCGCATCGACATCGAACGCTTATCGGAACTCGCAACTCGCACAGGTGCATCGTGTAGCATCCTTGATGGATGAAGGTGAAAGGTGTGATGGATGTACACACTTGCTCGTATGATATATATAACAGTTCGTTAGACATTGAGCAAACAGCAGAAAAACTCGCGTTACACACATACGTCTAATCCTGAGAGCTGGCAGGTGATGTCCCACGTGCATTCGAAGCGGTTGTCATCGCGTTCACAGTGGGACGGAGGCTTCCAAAATTCAAAATTGCAACTATTGTTTATAAAATCGAACATATTTCCTGAAACATGCATGACCTAAATTTCTATATTGTGCTTTGAAGTAACGTAAGTACGTTTATTTTATACTTGCATAGAAGCGTGAACGCGAATATATTATACACAGTTTTCATGCATATTACATATCTGTTTCCTTGTTGAATATTTCAAGTTATAAGTACCATAAAAACAAAAGCAGAATCTGATTGTTACCGAATATGCTTGTATACTCGCGAAAGATACAATTAAAATTTGTTTATTATAATGAATAATAATTTAAATAATATCTCTTTCAAACTGTTTAGATCCAATTTTCACATTTAAATCCACTTATAGTTATATATATAAAATTTATTCTTTTTATTCATCGGTAAATTAAAAAGATGTTATTTGTTATGTGCACACATGAATGTTTATTGCTCGTTTTCAAACTTATCTCTACGGAGATATTGAATATTGAGAATATCGAATATTGAAAAAAAACTAAAACTCATCCCACTATGCGCCAGCATGCCTCTTATTAAGGACAGAGATTCCGTTCTCTCACTGATTTAATTTCCGGTTTAAATACCAACCGTCATCTAATCTCATTTATTTATTTATTTATTTATTTTGGAAAAAAATATCCGTCGCATTTGATGCGCTTTCGTAATTCCTTTATCCCTAAAAACTTCGTAAAAATTTCCGTAAAAAATTAATAAGAACGAGCGATAATAATCGATATATGGATATTTGTCGCCTTTCGACATTTTGGATTTTTCTTTCTCGAATGAGAGAGAAGCTTTCTCCCTTGTTTCGGACGATAAGCGGGGAACATACACGCGCAGCGAACAGCATGCGCGTCAAATTTCTGCACGGATACGCGAGTGGATGCGAATGCGAGTTGAGTACCCCTTTGTTACGTGCGACAATGAATATCGTTCGTGTCAGGTGTGTCAAATCGCCGCATATAGATGCGAATCGCTGCGACAACCACGTGGCTGTTATTTCTCCGGCCTGTATGAGCGATGATTAGACGTGGAATAGAAACAATAAGCGCATAAGTTATACGGCTCTTTCTGTCAGTATTCGTCGAAACACGTGCCGCGATAGGCGACGTTGTTTCGAGATTGGTCGTATTGTTCTCTTCCCGCATATTAAAATTGTCTCGGTTATTCCACGAATTGACACAGAAAGTCGACACGAAAATGCATTTTTCGCGAGATATAATTAATAAACGCGGGATACGACGATCGTAAGGACGATCTTGGCCCGGCTATCGTGAAGCTTCAGCGGGATACGAGGAAAATCCTACGTGCGATGTCTGAGGATGTTGTGATATAATACTGGAATCGATATTTCCCTTTTAATACGGGGTATCTTTGACCGTTAAAAAATTCTGTCACTATAATATCTTGATACTAGCTATTTCCTTGATTTTTATATTTCCTTTGATTAAAATTTTTTTTTAATTTCGATACGGCAGCATCGGCATTGATATTTTTGTTCCCATACTGGTGTCACAAATAATATATCGATTCGCTTTTGATGAGATACCCATTTTAATTTTGGTATCGATATTTTCATGATATCGCAACATCCCTAACGATGCAATTCTATCATTAAAGAAGTTGTTGAACGAAAGGGATGGGTGAGAACAAGAGGGACACCAGCAATATGCCGTATCCACAATGGACCACCGCGAAATCCTGGCAACCTGTCGCGATTAACGTTCAGTAAGTCGACTGTTTCTCAACGAATGTCACACTGAATATCTTCCCGTCATCTTCATTCACCGTTATATCAGCGTATTCTGTATTTCTCACAACACGAATAAACGAGGGAATTTTTTAAGTTGATATTAACAAGAGATTTATGTGCGTTTCGACACAGCGATAACTGAGCGCAGTATTTAATCCGCGTGCTTTTGTCTAACGTTAATTGAGAGGACGATTCGGACCGATCGAGCCCACCTCCCTAACGAGCACTCCGTATGATAAAAATCGATTTATTAATAGTATTTTCAAATAAACGCCTTTTCCAACAGGAACGGCCGAGTGCAAACACTTTAATTTGATGACGAAGTGTTCTCTGGAAATAATGGCAATTCGCGGGATTCGTGCTAGAATTAGCAGTGACCAATATTTCTTCTTCTTGTTACGCGATTGATATGAACGTCGATTGCATAACCATGTATGCGTTCTCGCGTCTCTTTCAATCTCATCATCGTTATGCGAATTTTTTCGTATTTCGTATTCAGGTTTTTTAAAGAGATGAATAGAAATTTGTAAAATTTTCAAGATAGAAGCTTCATAACCGGTCCGCGAAATCCAATCGATACGAAAAAGCACTGGTTTCATTGTTGCAAACAATCGCAATTATCTCTCTGAAACTCCGTCGCATGTCTTTTTTTCTCCCTTTCTTTTTTCTAATCGTCGTTTAACTTTTATCCCAAAGGCCGAGCTGGTCGATCGGCGGGGTGTGACGTCAGTCTAATTATTTAAACGATTGTATCTCGACCATGCGAGCACTTCATGCTTATTTTCGCTGTATTGCTTCGTGAAAAATAGATGAATAGCGTTTGCACCGGCTGATACCGCGCTACTGCGACTTTGCTTCGCTCTTCGTATTGCGCCGATGCAATATTCTCCGGGGGTAATTCAGAGCGAAGGGTGTTTTCTTCCGAATCTCGCAATATCTGAACGTAACACTTTGCGATATTCGAGTAACATAAATGTAAACGACAAGGGGAAAGTTTCGGCTAAACTTGCAACTTCTTCGCGCGAAAACTTTGAGGCACTCCTTGCATCGCGTGCACTTTTGCGAATGTCAAAATTATGAGTGTCATGTAGCGCTCGAACTAATAACTGACGACCGTAGCGGCTGGAGCGCTTTTAGAAGATGAAATCCATAATCCTCCGGAAATAAATTCTTCGGGATTTTGCGAAATTTCGAGAAGAGAAAATGAGAGAGAGGAAAAGGCGGTCATTACCTCGTGCGGCTCTTCGTAGCTCGCAAGACAATCCTAGTAGCAAAATTCATTGGCGATACATCGGCCCGATATTGATTACATCGGCATTTATCGGGGGGTACATTAGGAAGGAATGTTACCCCAATATAAAGCCAGCCAGACAGCCGAACCTACAGAGGCAGATTTTGCACAGTGTTTGCTATAAATTTTGTCGACAGTTCGGTGGAAGAAATATAATAGGATTTGCTAGCAGAGCATAATAATGTATCAATCTGAAATTATCATGTTCTATTGACGAATTCTTTTATAATTCCGCCAGAAAGCTGTTGACAACATTTATAACAGGTACTACATAAAATCTGCTTTCGCAGGTTTGGCTGGCTTTATTTATTTTTACATATTGGGCAACATTCATTCAATGCACCTCCCAATGAACGCCAATATCGCCAATATCGCCAATGAATGCTACTCGAGAGTGTAACGAATAATCCGGGGGGTGGGGGAGGGGGGCGGGGAGAATAAGGCGAGTCTCTCGCGAATTTGCGAAAATCGCGTACTCACTTTGTCGTAGAACAGCAATCGCCGGATTCACACAACTCTCCACCACCGTGCATTGCGTTGACGTCAGATTCTCCTCTTCGCGGGTGGCGCTCTCTCCCTCTCTCCGCGCGGGAGGCGCGCGCGATCCCCTCGTCATCGAGGACGGGGCCTCCAGCGGAGCAGCCAGGAGTTTCCACTGGTTGCCCGAAGTGGACGTTTATTGAGTCCCCCCGATATTTGTAAAGCGCCTGCCGCCCTCGCCACCTCGCCGTCGCGCCGATAAAACTCTGAAATAACGAGTTCTATCTTCTGTCCACCATGCGATCGTGTACCGTGCACACCGTCAACCGCAGCGCGCCTCTCGCAAGGTGCGTTGTTTCCCAGCGAGTGTCAGAACGGAAGATTAAAATCTCAGAGCCGTGAGAGAGAGAAAGAGAGAGAAAGAGAGAGAGAGAGAGAGAAAGAGATCTAAAACGGGAAGCGTTTCCTCGTTCGGTCGGCCCGCCTGCGAACGCAATCGCAGTCCGCGAATTAGGAGGAACTTCAATCAATTTCGCAAGACGCAATCATTTGTCATTATCGCTCGCGATCACCGTCCACTACCCTTTCGAGACAAATCCGGCCGATTTTTCGAGTGTCGATCACGGTTTGAATTTCGCCCGGGCAATCGACGGAATGAAACGCGCGCGGGTAGATAGGGAAGGTCTCCGAGCAGCGAGAATCACGAGAAAGTAAGAGAATCCATCCTTTTCGCAGATCGCCCAAGAGCAACCTGCGCAGGATCGATCCCATGAAGACCGACCTGGTGGTGCCCGAGAGTAAGTTTCGACTGATTTTTATCGAGAGATCGCCCGTGGTTAGCGAAGCCTTCATTCGTGTGTGACTTCGTTCGTGTTTTAAGGGTCGCCACGATTTTCAGTGTCGGCGCCCGTCGTCCCCTCCTCGGACACTTTCGACCCCTCCACCGACAGCCTGCACTCGGCCATGAGGCCGATCATCATGCTGGCCCAATGCTTCTCCATGCTTCCCGTGTGCGGTGTCACTAAGCCGGATGCCTCGTATCTTCGGTAGTGAGCTTCGCTAATGCATCGAGTTTGATAAATTCGTAGGGATTTTTACGAGTAACTCAAAGTCGAGTTTATCCCCAGTCGGGCAAAGTTGTTGCTTTCTCGATCTTTTCTCGATATCTTTCGTCCCGGAAAAACGGGGTCGATACATCGCATAAAGTTATGCTCTGCTATGAAAAAAAGTATCGGCCTTAAATCCTTCGTGAAAATCTCTACGAACTGAAACAAATCAGTGGAATAATAATAATCGAGTCCATCTTCAAGGTGGTGCATCATAATTACCATCCTCGTCGGTCGCCGAAAAAATATTTTATTCCCGAATATCTCTCTCTCTCTCTTTCTCTCTCTCTCTCTCTCTCTCTGAGAAACTAATTAGACTGACGCAAAGCGTAATTGGATAAAGAATATAACCGGATAAACCGCCCGATGACCGATAATTACGTAATTAACGATTTACCTCACGCACGTGCGATTTTAGGAATCTCATTAAAAGCGATGCGGCGTCCACCGAGTTGGATTTACGTCACTCGCAAAGTTAATGCTTCAATCGACAAGTCCGGCGCAGCGTTGATCGATTTGTCGAAATAAGAGAGAAGCTCGAGGCAGTCGAATCGAAATATTTAATCTTTCTGATCCTCTGGGAGGATCGAGAAAGAAGGATCGGACTGGCGACTGCACTTCGATCGGTGAACCGCGCAGATCTCATGAGCGCTAATAAGAGTCGAAATTTTAGTTCTACATTAAGTCTACTTGGTTGTATATTGAGGTCCCTAAACTCACTTTTATCGATAAAAGTACCTTAAATGTGGCTTCTCAGCCACATCAAGTAGGTATCATAAGCCACTTGTCAGCGATCGATAAAAAATGAGTTCAGAATAGAGACCATTTGTCCCTTCTCATCTCTTTTTTATCAGATCTTCTATTGCGCTCCCTTTGATGCGATAAATGGAAAGTTATTTCCGTATCTCCACTTGAAGACTTAATGTAGAATTTAAAATTTCCCCCCAGGCGATCTGAAATTTCCCTCCTAGCATCAAAGAAGTCCTATTAATACTCCTTTGATGCTACCAATGGAACGTTATTTCCGTTTGTTCTTTACGTAATATAGAACTAACGAAATTTTTGACCCAGAAAATTTTCTGCAGATTCACATGGCGCAGCCTGAAGATCCTCTACTCAGGGGTCATTTTCCTGGGCGTATTCATGTTGACGGTCTTCAACGTTCTGTGGATGTTCACCACTGGGGTGAACTCCAGCAGAATGAGTAAGTTCCTTGGGAGGGAAGGCTGGACCACGTTGCGTTTTGAAGCTATCTTCACACATCGAAGTCAATTGTAACGCGATCATAATCCGGTCCTGATTTACAGCGACTTTCGCCTTCTACGCCACCACCCTGGTGACCGCGGTTCTGTTCGTGCAGCTCGCGAGACAATGGCCCTGCCTGGCTCTTACCTGGGAGAAACTGGAACGCGAATTCACTTCCCGACACAGGAGGGTCTCGAGAACCACTTTGGCGACTCGCTTTAAAATCGTGACCACCGTTGTCATGTTGCTCGCGTCAGGTGGGTGCCGTTTCGGTGATAAGTTCACGCGATCGCGCGAACATTTCTCTACACTGGGAGAAAGAAATTAAAATTTGACGAAATAAATGTTTCTCTGTGAAATTTTCTACGATATTTATCGGATCAGGAACAAATTTGACTGTGTGACGACGGGATGCATATTCCTGTGAAATATATGTAAATTTTCTCATCAATTGGTTTATTCTTCCTAAGAATAACATTTTATTGCACCGTACTTAAATAAACGTTTATTTCTGTGAAATAAATCTGACATTTCGCAGATAAATTTTCAAGTCCTTTTTCACAGTGTAGTCTCTCAATGAAGCTATTTTTACGACTCGCTGGGGTAAAAAAAAAAGTATCTTACGACGATTCGTTGAAATAAAATAAAATTGTAGTAGGTGAGATTATGGAATTATGGTATTCATTACTGCGTCTTTGACTTTTTCCATTATTTCCATACAGTGGAACACGTCTTCGCCATTCTGTCCACGTACAGCAGCGCGATAGAGTGCGCGACGTCTCGTGGGTACACGGACATTATCGGTACTTATTTCCAGGCGCAATTTCCGCAGGTAATACACACATCGAGTGCATGTACACTCAGAAAGATACACGTTGCATTCAAACAAATGTTACTTGTCTCAAGTATTTCATGAGTACACATACATCCGCAAATATATCATAAATTCAACATCAAGCGTCAAATTGATTCAAAATATATTTTGAATTCTAGTATGAGTTTAATACTTCGTTCAAGAATATCAAATTAAAACAAACCTCGGTTTGCTCATTCAAATTAACCGAATTTAATTTTTCTTCGATAAAAATATGATATTCTTGAAAGGAGAATAAATTCTTCTTTTGAGTATGTTATAACGAACCTTCCTGAAATTTGTAATGAATACATTTTAAAACTATTATCAAGAAAACATTCCTCGTTGAAGATAAGTTTTATTTATAAAAGAAGGAAAGCAAATTGATCAGTTGCTTCTCTTAGCAATAGAATGATATTTTCCTTTGTTTAGAATTCCTTCGTTTAGTTTTTCGTTGAACTTTGAAAAAAGTTGATCTAAAACTAACTTGAAGTTAATCGATTATTTTAAACACACATACACACAACGAAAAATGCATCATCGATCGTTCGTTCTCTCGTGCAGGTATTCTCCATGATATCATACAGTCTCTGGAAAGGAATTCTGATGGACATTGTAAATGTTCTCAGTACATTCTCGTGGAATTTCGTCGATCTGTTTCTCATTCTCATCAGCATCGCTCTGGTGGATCAGTTCAAGCAATTGAACAGCCGCCTGAACTCGATAAGGGGAAAGGTAAGGGTATACCGTATCGTAAGCGATCCGTTAAAAGCGCCGTCTCGCCTCCTTTCTGCTCCGGGATCATTAATATTTGTCACATCCCGCACATTCGAGATTCTATATATATTCGAATAATTATTAATTAGTCTAAAGAACGGAGTGTATATTTACTCGGGAGAAAGATCGAACCAGATTCGCCGTGAGAGATCTCCCAAGTCGTACATGCTATAATGCATTATTAACCACAGGGTGTCTCAAAATTACTTTTCATCCGCGAATTAATATTCGATCGAGTTGACATTTAAGAAATATTCAAACGATATACGTCGGAAGTGTCGGAGAATTCGAGGCGAACGAAAGGCGATTCGTTCAGGACACCCTGCGGACATATATATCGGCTCCTCCAAGCCGAATTTTTCATGACGACTTGTAACCTTTGCTCTTACTAACAATACATCGCCGTTAGCACAATTTCCTTGTTAAGGCGATGCCGGAATGGTGGTGGGCCGAGGCTAGGAACGACTACAATCACCTGGCGACCTTAACGCGCAAAGTGGACTCCCAAATCTCGAGCATCGTTCTCCTGTCCTTCGCCACCAACCTGTATTTCATCTGCATTCAGCTGCTGTTCTCCTTCAAGTATATATATTTCACGCACGTGACAATATACTATGAAAGCATTCCTGCTTTCACTCGATTTAACCGCGATACTCGATCTTACGCCATCGTCCCGGCCGTTTTAACTTTCTCGCGTTATTTCCTGTTAAAGAAAACACATTGATATCGTCCGTTCGAGTGAAAACGTTCGAATAAAGAAAAAAAAAAAAATTCATATTTCCTCTTCCGGCAGGCACGCGTAGATCTTACAAATTGCTTGACGTGAAATCTCGTTGCTTTTCTTCTTTTCCAAAAAAATGATTTCGATTTCCTTTCTTTCTTCATTTACGTAAAAGACGCGATTTCTTTAAACACACGTAGAAATTCTGTTAGAAATCGTCTTGAGAATGTAATATTGTCCAGTTGTATTTTCATTTGTGTTTTCAAATCCCGCTGTCGCTTTTGCGCTGGTGTTAATTTCGCCCGAGCGCAAGGCAATTTCGGATGAAAAACGAAACATGAGAGTTTCCGAGAAACATTTATGTAAAGATGTGCACGTAATTTGTCAAAACAGTCCGAAACGCGGCGTCGTGCGGACGATCTATTTTTGCTTCTCTTTCGGCTTCCTGCTGGCGAGGACAACGGCGGTGTCCTTGTATGCGGCTTCCGTTCACGACGAGTCACTCTTACCGGCGCCGATCTTGTACAGCATCTCCAGTTCTAGTTACGGAAACGAGGTTCGTTGCTTACATACTACCTTCATTATATCTCCGATCTTGAGACATACACATAACCGACCCACGATCGTTAGATGGCAACGCGTAATATTCTCCGTTAAAAATTCTTGCCGGAGCCGCTTCTTATTGACTCTCCGTTAGCCGCAATATTTTTCACCCATGAATGCTCGCAACATGCATCTCACGGATGCACTAATTTTTCCATTATTTTCCTCTTTTTCTTCTTGAAACATTTTCTTTGTTTCACTGGCACTTGGCTAATAGACCTTAGGCATTGAAGTACATAGAAAACAGTGGAGAATGGAAAAAACAAAAAAGAAACATTGACAAGGATGAGTTCGGCCATGAGGCCGTAGAGCAATCGACGATACGTTGCAGCCTGAACGTGTCTATCTATTGGATGTTGCGACTAACGGAGGATTAGTAGAAAGTGAATTTTTTCTCCAACGAGAAAGCTGCTCTCGTTTAATTGATGAAAGATTACGGGAGCGTAAATGTGTCGGTTATGAGAGAAAATAATAGTGTATTTCTTAAACGCTTGATCCCGTGATCGTTCCTTCGCTCTCACGTAAACTTGCACGTAACGTTCCGCAGGTCTCGAGATTCTTGACGCAAGTAACGACGGATAATATAAGTTTAACGGGGATGAAGTTTTTCTCCGTGACGAGAAGCCTCGTGTTAACCGTAAGTACGTGAGGCGAGTGCGCTTCGATGAAGTTAAATATAGCCTGTGCGGAAAATCGTTCGGCTCTCGTGTCCACGCGGTACAAAATTTCGTGTTAAATTCAACGTATTTCACATATCCCAGATAATCCACCAAAATTTTTGTTTACTACTTTGTTGACTATTTCATTTAACACAAAGAATATGTAGAAAAGTAACACAAATATCATAACAAAAGATTAACTCAAATTTAATATCCACAACATGTTAATTGACACTGAAATATAAAATGTGTTATTTTAATATTTACACATGTTTAATATCGATTCACGACACAAAATTTTGAGATAACATGAACACGATAAATAAAACTAACACATACGTTAAAATTGTCATACAAAAATTTTTTCAACAAGGGACGATCTTAACACAAGTACAAAATGTTTCTACTATGCGGTAATCGCTTATATTTCCTCGTTTAAAAAATCTCTTTATCCTCTTTATATCTTGTCGGCGTTATAATTTCCATTGTTATGTTATCTTCAGCAGAAAGATTTGAAAAATACGCTTGCCGTTCGAACTGATTCAGTCAGAGAACAAAGAATACGTGAAAACTTTTGCCGTCGTCGCGCGATAATTTGGATCAAGCTCAGGCAACAATTGTGTATAACATTGTTTAATATTTCCCGATTGCTAATGACGATCTAGGTCGCTGGAACCATCGTGACTTACGAACTGGTTCTGGTACAGTTCAATTCCGTCCAGCAAGTGGACCAGACGAACAATACGAACGTTTGCGAGGTGAGGTAGAGAGAGAGAGAGAGAGAAACCGCTTGCGAGAAGGCTTTTGAAAGGACCTCAAACGTCTTGCGCCCCCGCTTCTCTGCATCTGCAAATCACGAGTCTTGAAGAATGCCACGCAATATTTCATGGTACCTTGTATATAAAGTACGATCACCATCACACACACCGCTCTCTTTCGCACATAGAGAAGAAGGTTTCTTTAGGTTTAGTATTAATTTGACTAAAATTTGTTTCATAGAAACACAACATGTACTTGTACGAAATATTATTTGTTTGAGTAAAATGTTATCGTCTCATTCAAGAAAACTTTATCATTTGACAGAAAGAACACTATTATTTGAAATGATATCTTTTAACCGAATAAAATATTATTTCGTTACAGTAAATACGTAAAATGAAGGAAATTATTTCTTCGTAAGAAAATTATCTTTCACGTTTCAAACAATTTTTTTTATTTAAGATAAAGATACATATTCGTTGAAAAGTCGATAACAATTGTACTTATTAATTGAAACATTATTTTTCTTTGGAGCATGCCGATGATGAAATTCGTTTGGATGCGATAAAATTGATTAAATTTGAAGAAATCTTTTTCTCAGTATGCACTCACACTCTTCGCACAGTTCTGTATTTATCGATTTATTTGTTCGCTCACACATTTGATCAGGATGATTCATTTTTCACCGGACGCGCTTTCACGTTCAACCCGGCCGATTTCGGCCATAATTTTGGATTAATTTGCCTCTGTGTCACGTGTTTCATGCAGCAATTCTCGGTTTTAAGAAATTTTACGCTCCGTCTTTGTCTCTCTCTCTCTCTCTCTCTCTCTCTGTACATACGATATTTATTTCTGTCTCGTTCGCGAACTGTTGTAACACAACTCCGGAATGTCCACTTTCGAATTCACCGATTCGTTTGGTTTATTGTTTCACGTCACACGTTTGACTCAACTGACTGCACATAACCATACAAAATATATGTACCATACATGATAAAGCGATATCTCGAATAAATTATAAAACGCACCACGTTACGACATTGTAATGTGATCGTAACTTTCCGGCCACCTTCAGCTGCAACCAATATTGCGAAAGTTTTATATTTTACGAAATACACCTCGTATCTCTCTGTCTCGCCGCGGAATCTCGCGATTCTCACACCCGTACGTAAACGACGAATGTGCCTTTTCCACTTTATCGTACGCGTTTTTAGGACTACCTGCACCTAACACACTTCATCGACCTACCAGATAAGGAAAAGCCCGCTGTTAATGGCCTCATTTGTATTTTTGCAAACCTCCGCTTACGATAGTTATATAAAACTTCCCGTTGGATTATGTAAACTACCATCTCCTATTTTATCACGCTTCTTCCAGCAATTTTTCTGCAATCTTGCAATCGAGCTCTCGCCGTCATAAATAAGATTTCCCGGTGTTTCTCTCTCTCGCGCGCATTAATACGCATAATCTCCATTTTTATTTCCACGCGAGAGCGCACCGCATCCGGGCTCCTATTTCCGATCTCACGATTTCATTTTTTAATTTACTTTTTGTTGTAGTTCTAGTTTCCGTTAAAACTAAGCGAAGGTATGTTTCTGGATCGAAAGAGCCTTGAGGGATGCGTTTCAATGGAACTTAACGATCGTATTACGCACAGGATAACGCACACTTAGACGTACGTCTACGACGGCGGAGAACACGCTGTCGTTCGCAGGAGTGAACTACGAAGGGTACCACACATAAGTGTACTTTGTAAGGTGTCTCTCGATGTGTTGTACAAAGTCTATCGTAACTTGTGTGCAATTATTCTCATCCGCTTATGACGTACGTCGCGTCCCAACGATTTTGTGAACGAGACAAGCAGGAGGGGAATTTTAACATAAAACCACGTACTCCAACGATGTTATTTATTAGAAAAATGTCCTGTACGAAGTATTAATCGAAAATATATTTACGCAGAAATAATCACGGGATAAAAAGATCCCGTCGTAAAACCCGAAGTGCATTTATTTGTGAGCATATATGAATGATGAAAATGCGCGGACTAGCCTATTGCATTTATTGAGATACTCGAAATAGCCGGAAGTTTGCTATTTTTAATAAATAAAACACATGAAGAATTGCAAAATAATTAGCGATTGGCAATCGATAAGAGATACATATTCTTCATACGGCTTCAATCTTCAGTGTATAACGTTATTTTATTCGTACATTATTTATAAATGTTTCATCAATTTTTATCGATACGTGTATATTTTTACATGATTTCACTTATGTCCGAATTATTTTGCTTTATTTTAGTCTCGTCCCTTTGGTAAATTATTAAATATACAAATATTTACGTTATTTCTTATAATTCGAGATAACAGTTCTCTTATTGTTCTAGTTTAGACAGTTTATTTCGTTCCGACGGAATGTTTAACTGTTGTTGTGCAATCACTTGTTCATGGAGACGTTGAACTGCAGCAGCACGACTTCGTACGTTACAATTGCACCGGCCACCTGCAAGTAAACTTTTTGTCGGTTTAAGTGTCGACAATGGCTTTCGTGCAAATAACAATATCGAGATATCGCGCGAACACAGACGCGATAACGTAAGCTGCTGCGAAAGAACGCGGCTTGTCACGATCGCGCCCTCATCGCGTCGTACGGAAAACAGTCGAGAACACAATCGGAAATCGGGAATCGAGTTCTTACCGCTAACATGAAATTCCGCGTGATGGAGAAGAAGCGCATCCCCGTGAGAGCGACATCGTCGGTGGTGAGTTGCTGCATCAGCCTCTCGGTCTACAAATAGTTAACGCGCGGATTTTCTCCCCGTTAAGCGTAGTCCGAAGTAACGTAAGTAATTCTTTGCGATTTAAAAAAAAAAAGAAAAAGAACAAGCACAACGGTTTTGGGAATGTACGACGCGGATTTTCTCGCGTTAAATTTTTACCTCTACGTTGTAGGTGGAGGACGAGCAGGTGTACAGTGCCGGCAGTGCCACCTTGCTTTGATCGTTGATCCTGGAGGTGAGCAGAGTGACGACCACCGTCCTGCCGATGAGGAACGCGAATGACCCGAAGAAGTAAATATCGCTGAGAAGGCTGCTGTCGCTCGGCTGACTGCAAGGAGGCGAACGAAACGAAATAGAGACCGACGTTCGCAGTTTTTCGATTTATCTGTTGTTAAATAAATCCACAAAAGGATCCACAAAAATCACGCACATATACGTTGTTGTTAGAGATGACGATCCTATACGAAAATTGATAGAAATAATAACAATAATAATGTTAAAAAATGAAATTTGATTAAAAAAAATATACATATAATAATGATGTAAAATTTTAATGGTATCGTTAAAATAAAATTGAGACGGTTTGCTCAAAGAAGGGAGATGTCTTTTGTAAATTTTTATTTCATTCGTGTTATAAATGTAATATTCGCAAAGTGAGGGCGCAGTAATCCGTTGACAATTGCAGTTCGCGTTACGTCTAGCTGTTAACGGTAATGTATGACTGCACTATTTCATTTACGACTCAAGACACTTACGATAAGCCGTTGAGTAGTTGCAGGCAGATGAAGTAGAGATTATTGGCGAACGACAGAAGGATTATGGCCGCGATATCGGCATCCACCTTTTTCACCATACAGGAAAGAGCGGCGTAATCCTCGCGAAATCCAGTCCAGTCTATCGTTCGATGCTTCGACACGGAAGTCGTGACTTGCTTGTTCAACGTTTTGTATCTCTCAGCCAGGCCGGTGGATATCTGAAAACTCCGGCCGAAAGAACTATCAGACTTGATTACCGAGAACTCGATTATCGAGAAAATTCAACAAAAGAAAAAAAGAAAAGAAACGAGAATGGCACGGGAAATAATGCGCGAAGCTCTGTTGTTTCTTTATTACCAGCATAATGAAGAGATCGGTGAAGTTCCACGTGAAAGTCGCCAGTTTGCTGACGATGAAGATGAAGATACCGAGCGCGAAGTTGTACGTCACTGAAAATAACGAAGTAATTTCAAAGAGGTTTTTCCAAAGTACGTATCCGAGATAATTGCAGACCCCATCCGAGAGGCAATTTGATAAATTAGTTAATTAAATTAATTAATTAAATTGCAGCGTTCCCTGTTACACGTAGACATTACGTTCGCGTGATCTTCGAGTACTGTCGTTCACAGACGACGAGATAACAAATTAATTAATTTGCGGTCACCGTATTTTTCGCGCCAAAGAGTCAAATTAAACGACTGAATTTCATTGACTTGCCGTCGGGTCTCTTCTTTCAAATTAACGACGACCTTCGAGAAATTAATGCGCGCGCGCATGTGACTCACGTGTTTCCAAAATAAACGCGTGGGAGTTGGCGCAGTATATCTTCAGGAAATTTTGAAACGTCGAGTTCGAAGTGCCGTTCCAGTCATGCTTCTCGGAGTTCACTGCTATGCTCAGGACGTGCTCGATCAGAGCTAAGAACAGAACGGTGGCGCTCAACGTGTAAAACTTCCAGCGAAGCTTCGGCCGCTCCGTTTTATCACTGCAAAACGAGAGAGATGATCTTCGTGAATTGATGCAAAATTAATCGACTCTGATCGTGACTTCCATGCAAATTTTCATCAAGAGACATTCGATTCCTGAAAAGAGTAGAACGGCAACTTTCGCACGTCCTGTTTAAATATTTAAATGTTTAATATTTGTTTATGTCCTTCCGCGAAGATCAAAACCCACGATATAGCGAGTATTTTTTTGCACTTGGTAATGAAGAAAATTAAACTTGGTTCTTTATATCACACCGAAATAGCGATATATAATTATAACAATGACATTAAATAACAACGATCATTATATAATTCTACGTGCGCGTGTATTGTATAGTTTATACTATGTAATACTTATTTAATATAATGTATATAATATATGAAATATAATATATTCAAATATATTACGTAATATATAATACACACATACACAAAAATACATGACCAAAAACTGTATAACAGTATATTAAAAAATATAAAAAAAAATAGCTATTGCATACAAAATCGTAACTTCTATTTTCACAAATTTATTTTCGTATGAATTTCTGTATGAAATATTTTGCGGGACCTAATCTAATCTATCTCTGATTATTGATAATATTCTACATTCGAAATCAACAAGCGGCTCGTTTTCCCCTGAATGAGTGTTCAGAGAGTGTACAAAAACTCGCCAGCTCCGCCATGATAATAACGATGTCACGATTATTTTCAATTCTCATTCTAAAGTGATTTCCGCGATAGAGCAATTTCGCGATCGGCGAGGAGAGATCGGGCCTGACATTTTTTATTGCGAGCGCTCTCGTAATGTCAGCTATCATCGCGTGAAACATGTACAACCCCGGCGCGCGATCGCTATCTTCTCGGTATCTTTTAAAAGGTATCTCCGCGTGCGGGCGTACGTGTACGTCTGAACATGCAAACAACGTAAGTACGACGCAAGTGCAAACGCGATCTCAGCCCGATTAATTAGCCGCGCTGCGATTTTCGTATCTTCCGTGACGGACGCGCCTACCGACCTGTCTATGAATTCCTCCATGGTTCTCCAGTCGCGTTGAAGGGTCACCCAGCGCGGCGATAGCCAGAAAAATATAATCAAGCCTATCACACAGTTGCCGTAAAATACGGCGCCTGCCGTCGCAGCCGCGATTCCTCCTGAAATCCAAATCGTCATTTCACGCGTCAGAAAGTAAGCTCGATCGAGGATTCACGGAGAAAAGAGCGTATTGTTCGAAAACTTCACGTGCAATTCGATGCACCGATATAAATATAAATATAAATATATATTTATATATATACATACCTTTTGAATCGATATATAAAAATAAGTAAATTTTTTTTTATTGTTTATTTCCCTTTATTGTTTATGCTTCGTGTTTCGAATTGCACTTCAACACGTTCGCTGTTACGCCTCACATACACATACGCACCGATTCTCACGAGAGGTGACCGACGTCATGCATGTGTGACAGCGATAATTCCTCATTCTACATCTATGTAAACAAGTTAAATCTGTTTTATGCGCGATAAATTTACGATTCGCGGGCTTTTATAATTTTTAAGGTAATTTTGATTTTTTCACTGCAGCCCTTAAGAATCTTTTCTTGAGGCAAAAATCAAAATCATCATACAATTTTTGCAGGAGCTAGGTGGCTAGAAATTAAAATTTATTTAAGAAGGAAGATATCGTTAAAAATACGGTAAATGCATGCTTTATGCGCTATTGTGTGCGGGCAATTTCGATTTTTTTCAGTGCAACGCTTAAGAAACTTTTCTCTCGAAGTGAAAGCCAAAATCGTCTGGAAATTTTTAACGAGGGGGTCAGATGGTTATCTCTTCGCGATTATTTCTTTAAAAAAAAAAATAATAACACACTTATCTAATCCCGATCGACTTTAATCGATGTTTATAAAAACGAGCGGTTCGTACAACGACGGGAACTTGGTGCAAACGAATTCTCATGCGCCGCTGTTCTCCTTATGGCCTGATAATGGAACATCACATGTCAGTCAGGACGGGATAAGCCCATGGTGGTGGGATATGAAAGACTTGTCATGTTTACCTTGCACTTCGAATGCCGTGGAGTTAAGCGTTCTTATCATATGCAGAACCGACAGTATCGCCATGACGAGCACTATCGCCGTTATGAAGGTGGCATAGGCAGTGCGGGGCGATAGTTTGACGAATCGCAGCTTGTAAGGGGTCGGTTGAAGCAAACCCAACACCGGTAGGACCCCGAAGAATTGAGCCAGCACTAAAACAGGCGCCATCGCGCGATGAAAGCTCTCTGGATCCTGCAACAAAGAGTGCTTTTCACTGTCGACGTCGGTTTAACTTAATTAATTTTTTCCCGCGCCAAAATTCAGTTAATTAAATAATCCAGGATATTTTTAATCAAGGAAAATGTGCGTCTTCTGGACAGCGCAATTTTCTAAACGCCTTTCGAACGCCTTTTACGCGTTTCGGATATTTTAATATCGTCCGGGAGATCATTCCTCCCAGCTGCACTTTGCGCGTTCACAAAAATACTTTCTTCTCATTTTCATCAGAACGATTTGCGATGCACGAGAGAAACGCGAAGATTCTCGACGGACACTCACATTGCTGTTCGCGGACAGGGAGTGCTCGCTGAGGAAGCCGTTGCGAAAGATCGGTCGCGCGCCCCGCGAGTTCGCGGCACGCAGCTCGGTAAGTCGGCTTTCCATACGTTTCTTCTTCCTGCGCGCCAGGAGCGGCCAAATCTTCCGGCAAGTTGCTATAGAGCTCTTCCTCGAACCGGCGCTGAATATCTGCTTCGTCTTCAGCACCATGCCGTGGATTTCCTCGCTCAGGAAAGCAACCATCCCGCAACGGTGTTCCTGGGGAACACAAGCAAGGCGATCGTTTCGGGGAGGGCGACTCGCGCTGGGTATCGGAAATCTTACGCGCGAAAAACTTGTCTGCACTCTCTTTGTCGAAAGGAATGTGTAATTTCCCTCTTTTTTCTTTTTTATCAAGTTCAAGAGAGCCGGCGTGTTTTCAGCGCACCAAACGTGCCGAATAACGTTTCCCGACTTACGGAGAAGGCGCGATACGCGCCCGAACAATTAATTATCGGCGCGTTATATGGAAAGCGAGCGGGAAAAGGGTTGGTCGTTTGCCCGGCATGGCTATAAACCCGATATGTTGACGCAGGCTGTCGTCTCGCGCGTCAAGCGCAACGTCATTCATTTACACACGTCTTTTCTTCGGATGATTTCGATCGAAAATTATTAACCTGGTTATTGGCTTATATCGGACGGAGTACGTCCTCGCATCTCCCATAATCTTTCACAGCGAGACTCGTGATATGAAAGAATAACGAGACGAGAGCTTGCGCTTTGACATTCATAAATTGAAAGATATCGGAAGAAACGACGACAGTATCGATATCAATACAATTATCAGGACCGTGGAGAAATGTAAAAGAAAATGTCCTATTTGCAAGATACGGAAAAATGTTTTTTCATCACGACCGGTATTTATTCGTCGGCCATACCTGCGTATTCAACTACGAATATCCTCAAATTGCGAATTATCGTTTTTCGAATGCTTTATTTCTGAGAACGCATTGGTTTGATGAAACCAACGGGGCGCTGTGATATTTTTCTTGAAAGAAAATCGATAAGATACAAATCTTTTAAAATATTAATATTTCATTCCTTCCTTTTTATGTCACATATAATATGATATACGTGTATGTGCATTGTTATCGCGGATATCAGATGTTGTCTGAACGTAGTGTTTATATAACTCATGTTCCTCCTCCTGAAATTATAATGCACACTGTGCGTATCTATACATATTGTATACATATTGTGCAAAAAATATAACATCTCCCATCACGCAATAAAAAGCGATCGATATTGAAGTTTCACGGAAATCACATTGAAACTGCAGCTTCCGGTTAAAAAAAAAAATGGTTTTTAGAAGAATTTTACGTACAGTTTTTCCCGAACTGTTTGCCTATTTGTCACATGAGTGTGTGTGTATGTGCGTGTGGCAAATGTGTTTTTTCACAACATTCTGCACCGAGCCGCTTTTATACGACTTTCGATTCACGCCGTGCCGAAAATAATACACGATGTGGAGTTTGATAAATACGTTAATACAATTATTTAATTTAGGTGAATTGGACAGTTATTTGTAATGAGAGTCGTATATTCAAAGTATAAAATACATAGTAGAACAAATAATTTATTTCAAATCTAGAAAATGGAAAGATAACAAACAAGATATTGCGGAATAAAACAGAACATATATAAAGAAACTATAGCTTATTATGGAACAAATAAAATATAACTTTTCTGAACATTTTGCGTGTATAATCGAACGGTACGGATGTAGTTTATAAAAACAATCTGTACAGGTTTTTTGGGGCAATTCTCACAAAATCTTATTACCCGTTTTGTTTTAACTCTAGCATATTCGGTACTCAAATTTCTAACGTTCTAAAAGAAATCATTTTGTTATATTTTGTCTCTTAACAAAAATATCACTTGGTTCGGAGGTCGAGCTCAGCGCGTGCTGTAAACGATACACGTGACACGGAACGTGTTAATTAACGTCACTCGTGTTTATTAAATTAACAAATAATTCGTCATCGAGATATCAGCAACCCTTCAACATAAAAGCCCGCGTCCACAACTGTTACTTCTCTTTTCCATTATGGTCTAAATTGATCGTGGAGTTTTCCACAATCTCGAGGAAAAAATCTAAAGATAGCTTCGCGCGATAAAAGTACAAGAGTCTCGTGCTTCGAATTATTTTTGTCAACAGTTCTCTAATGATTGACGATGCTGAAATAGAAGGTGATTTCGCTATGTGTGTAAAGAGACCTCCATAACGTTAGAATCGCGGCTGGCTTTTAAATGTTTTCGATTCACCTGTAGATTCCTTTTCTCCCATTTCTCTGAATCTTCATCATTGAGAAGCCTTCTTTATCACAAAACAATTAAACAATATCTTAAAGTTCAGGAAAATCCACGGATAATTACAAAAAAAAGAGAGATAGGTCAAAAGTGACATCCGCATTTTTAGGAGGAGGAACTAGCGGTTAAGCTATTCTTAATTCCCCCTGTTCCTATTTTTAATTATTTTCCTACTGTCTCACGATACATGTAAAACTCTCAAGAGAAACAGGGTGTCCCGTTTTCTTCAAATGAAGAACGGAAATCGTAGGTGTACGCACATAGTTTTCTTCTGCTCCTGCGCTTCTCGCGGCCGTGCCTCATCCGCAGCGGATAACGAACGACGATAACAGAGAAACGAGCAAGTACCTTCCGATGATGGTGATCGTCGTCGGCCCGTTACACGTGCTGTGTGTCAACGTGTACTAGCGAGCCGACTTGAATTAAAAGCGACGACTGCGCGAAGCTGTGCGCGACGCATGTCCGATCAGATAGCTGGCTATACCACTTACTCGCGGCTTCGTCGGGAATAAAATACACGTGCGCAACGGTCATATTGATTGAGTTATTTTGCTTCTTGTTTTTTAGTACTGTAATTGATGAGCGTCCATCTCTCTCTCTCTCTCTCTCTATCTCTCGAGCATATTTTGCGAATACCACGTGCCGCGGTCTCGATTGATAGGGTTCAACTTCGAGCTACGAAGAATGAAGAACCGTAAGTTTCGGAGTTAAGTTTCTTAGAAATGGAGGTTTGGTCTCCTCCCTCCGACGATTTCCCAGTTCTTCTCTTTACTCTTTCAAGATTCTCGTCTTAATCTCGCTCCTTACAAACTTGAAACTTTTCCCGCTCCGGTAGCCTCCTCGCTCGCGACTTTTCTCGCGAATAATTTGGAAAACAAGTTCAATTCGGACGTTGTATCTTTCCTAATTTGTTTCCCGTGAGGGCCACGCATCGTATCATCTTTGGGGCCGTTGTACTCTTCGATACTCTTCAATCACTGCTCCAAATTTTTCTCTGAACGTTTTACAATTTTCCGATCAATAAGCTTTACTTGTACTCGCCGATTGGAGATAAACGGCGGTGAAAGGGTGCGATGGGTGTATATCAGGCGTTAGAACTGATGAAATATTCAAGCGTGCGACTCGTCCGTAAACAGTTACGGGAAACGCACTGGTAAACGTGATGCGAGTAATGAAGGGACACAATGAGACCTGCTTGTACATAGTGCATATACCTGGAAATCGATTTCTTTACGAAAAATTACACGTAGTAATCGACGTTTCAACGATGCATCACACTATTCGCGGAACGAAAGTTCTCTCGAATGTTATTCTCGGGCTGTTCTGCGAACAGATCAATTTTCGTACGCGTCACGTTTTGTAAATCAACGATCGTCGATCGCCGCCAGCTCTGATCTCTCACGAGCGATCTGACAAATGGCTGAATAATCACTACATTAATTTTTAATCAATCGCCTCATCCTTTGTAGAGAGGATTACAGACTTGTCATTAATGGTATTGAAATTATTGTATAAATGTCGGAAACTTCAATTATTTCTTAAGATACGCAAATCTTGCTCTTTAAATATATGGGAAGCTCATGACGCGTGAGACATCAGACATATATTATAGATGAAGGCAAAGTTACTATCTCTCGATAGTAATTGATAATACCTTTCGATAATAATAGATTACGAGGAACAGTAATATACCAAGAATTAGACTTATTCTTTACAGTTATATTCGCATCCATTCTCACATGTATATTTCACTAAAATATGTGCACATTGAAAGAGTAGCGTACAGTTCGACATGTACCATTCTACCAGATAGCACGTTGTAATCCAGAGATTTTGTTGTAATCGACCAAATCGCGGAAGATAAATCTCGATATTCTCCATCTCTGCATAGTACCGTAACCACGAGAAGTCACCACGCACCTCGGTGTCAATTGTCTCAGAGCGGTCTGTCTGGGAATCGTTTCATCTATTTGTTTGCCCACAAGCTCCTAAAAGAACCATTATCAACACATTGTACCAAAAAGGCTTACATTATCCCGGTGAAGTTTGAACAGAGAAACAATGACAAATCTATTAATCGAATCAGCACTCACTCTTATTTCAACCGGTAAAATATCGTTTCTCTTCATGACAACCAATCGCAAGCGTTCCTCTGAATACTGCTTCGCCCAATTCCTGCGTTTCATGTCCCGTCTCATTCTGGCATTAATATGACTTCGTGTCTGTTGAAACTGTAAATACATAAAATAATTACTGTTATGTAATTAAATACAAATGGTGTTTCAAGAGAAACATTGAATTGTGTGTGGCTTATATGAGGTTAGGATGAGATTTTACATTTTTAATTATAGCGTGGCGTTATAAAATCAGTTCGACGTAAGGCAATGTAAGAAACGAGCAAGTGAACTACTTACGTTGCATCCTGACAAATTTATACTGTTCGAGAGAATACCGCCGCAAAAGTCTGAAATACGTTTCCTCAACGCCGCCATGTTTACTGAATCGGGTGTTTCTCACGAGAGGGAAGTTCGAGAGCGTTCATGCCGTAATGGATTTTTGGAACACTTTTTTTCGCGACGCGCCCTCTGAAGAGACGAATGCGAAACTCTTGATATAATATTACAGGCTCGAAATTTAGATTTACGAGTATAGCCGTTGTTCTTGCCTTGAAAATAGAACAATTCAAGAACTTTCAGTTACTAACAAGGCGCTTAACTAGCTGTACTACAAATATTTTTGATAATTGACAACTTAAAATTACATTTGATGGTTCAACTTCAAAAATTAATATCGACGTAACTAGTACGACTTTCGAACGAAAAACGTTCAAACGTCGAGAGTTGTCATACGACATAAGAAAAGTGCAAGTACAAATGATACTGGATCAAGAAGTCAACTAGTTTTATGCGATCGATTTGTGATCGACGCTGCTTATCGCTCGCAGTGATCGTCGGAGTAAAGAAACGCGCTCGATCTGTGTCGACACTGGAACTGAACGGATGAACCGGAACTTAAAGATGGCGTACTCATTTAAATATTTTTCCACCCTCAAAATGTGCGTAAAACAATCTCACGAGTTCGATTTTTCGCTACCAATAGTCACCGTTTCTACTGACAAATCAGTTACACACGATTTTCCAGCGGACATCAAATACCATGCCAGAGAATCTTTGATTCTCAATAATTCTTATATACGTCCAATGAAAATAGTAAGATATTATTCGATATACTAAGCAACAATTATGCTGCTTGCACATAATAAAAATATACAGTAAATTATTCAGGCGGTTTTCATATGAACGTTATGCAACATTCATGCATGTTGCAGGCTAAAAAAGGTCGGGTTTCACATGAATGAAATTCATCGGTGGTCTCTCGTTTCCGTAGCTTCTTTTATTCACTTTTTTTTATTCGTCATCGCTGTTATTTATATGTATGTACAGAAAACCTTTAACCAATGCAATTGTAGAAGAATCGCGGGATAAAAGATGCCGAGTTGCCGTAAAAAATCGTCGTTCTCCCCGGGGTGTCTCGCGATTTCATGCAATTTCACACATGGTAGAAAAGAAGTGTTTATGATAAAATTACCTCGTACATAGAAAGGTTTACAAGGAAAACTTGCTCTCATCTAATCAAATATAATTAAACGATTGTTAGAGATAATTATTAAACAGGTCCCATCTCCCAACGAAATCTACTTTTGTCGAGGCCTACCACCGCTGTTCTCTTCTATTCTAAGTTTTCTGTGAATCGATATAGCAGTCTGAACGATTAATATAAAAAAGCTATCGAGAAGATGAAAGATTACGGGGGTTCCATCATGATGTGTTTACTTTCAAATTGTATAGTTACCGTAAAACGAGCGGACAAATGAGGAATTTTCATTTCGTAAGGATAACAAAGAGAGAGAGAGAGAGAGAAAAAAAAAGAAAGAAATATGAGACGTCGCCAATTCGCAGCCGAACATCGAGAAAAAATCAGAATAAGAATAATAGTAATAACGAGAGTAATGTTTCTTTTTTTTTTTCTTCGAGTATCAAGCTGATACAGAATTTATTTTCGTATAATTAGAAAATATAATTAAGCCGCGCTAAATGATGATGTTGACGTTCGTCGTGACGAACGATGAAGATGTTGTTAGATAGTTCGCGCGAAGTTCGCTTTCCCCTTTCACGCGTGCGCGTGGGTCCGTCTGATGTAGCGTATCTCGTTAATCGATTTGTCATCGTCGCCACCGGACGGTGGTGGAGAATTTTTTCCTTTCCTGCGGAATGCTTTGCGATGGAAGAAATGGCGGAGCAGCCATCTCGACAAACGAAATACACGCGCGTCGAGGAAACGCGTTGTACGCGTCACTTCTTCGTGCGCGCGAACAGCCAATCTTCGCGATTGGATTGTAATTTCTTTACTCCCGGTAATTCGTGGCTGCGCGGTGGCGAGTTCCGCGGTCAGCGACGATGACGATGACGACGACGACGGAGATGACACTACGACGTCCGACACGTGTAGGTCGCGTGACGAGAGAGAGCGAGCTGCGTCGGCTGTTGCATGCCGGCGTTCACGCGGCGACATATTCGCACGGAAACTATCGGTATATGCACGGAAACTATTGTAGTTATTTCTTCTTTTGGGCTTTCTCAGCGGCCTTGGTGACTTTGCCAGTGGCGTCCTTGAAGGTTACGGCCTTGATAACGCCGACGGCGACCGTCTGACGCATGTCGCGAACGGCGAAACGTCCCAGAGGCGGGAACTCCTGGAAAGCCTCCACGCACATGGGCTTGCTGGGCACGAGGGTGACGATGGCCGCGTCACCAGACTTGATTGCCTTCGGGTTCTCCTCGGTGGTCTTGCCGGTACGACGGTCGCACTTCTCCTTGATCTCGGCGAACTTACACGCGATATGGGCCGTGTGACAATCCAACACAGGCGTGTATCCGTTGCTGATTTGACCCGGGTGATTCAGCACGATGACCTGCCGCGAAAGCGAGCGATCTTGTTAATCATACAACGGTCTCACACCAATTCGTGGCTTATCTAGAGATTTTAGATTTCTTATAAATCGACCGAGCTGAGAGTTACATTGAGGGCACTCAGACGTATTCGACCATCACTAGAAATGAATCTTCTGGTGGAAACCACGAATGAAGTAAATCATAGTTATCATCATAGTGCATCAATGAGTTCTAATTGAATAATGGAAAAAAAAGGCGCAGGGAATAACGATAATGCGTGTGACACGTCACCTGCGCGGTGAAATCAGCGGCACCCTTGGGCGGGTTGTTCTTGGAGTCTCCAGCGACGTAACCACGACGCAACTCTTTAACAGACACGTTTTTAACGTTGAAGCCAACGTTATCGCCGGGCACAGCCTCCTGGAGAGCTTCGTGGTGCATTTCGACGGACTTAACTTCAGTGGTCAGTCCAGCAGGTGCGAAGGTAACAACCATACCGGGTTTCAACACACCAGTCTCGACACGACCAACAGGCACAGTTCCGATACCACCGATCTTGTATACGTCCTGTAAAGACAGATAATGCATTACTTCAATTGGACTAATTCAAAACTTTACATCCCATGGATTACGGATGCTTACAATTATTAATGAACCCGAAGATGCTTCAGTGCAAAACACGAACGTGAAGAAGCGAACGTTATAACGCGAAATTACAAATCACGAGTCGAACAAACGCGCTGACGCTCTCTACGTTACCTGGAGGGGAAGACGAAGTGCCTTGTCAGTCGGCCTGGTCGGCGGCAGGATAGCGTCCAGAGCTTCGATAAGGCATTTACCCTCGGCCTTACCTTCCTTTCGCTCCACAGTCCACCCCTTGAACCAGGGCATTTTAGCGGACACTTCCAACATATTATCCCCATGCCAGCCGGAAATGGGCACGAACGCGACAGCAGCCGGATTGTAGCCGATCTTCTTAATATACGATGACACTTCCTTCTTGATTTCCTCGAATCGGGACTCGGAATAAGGAGGCTCAGTAGAATCCATCTTATTAACGCCGACGATAAGCTGCTTCACACCGAGCGTGAAGGCGAGCAGAGCGTGCTCGCGGGTCTGTCCGTTCTTCGAAATACCGGCTTCGAATTCACCGGTACCGGCGGCGACGATCAGTACGGCGCAATCAGCTTGCGAGGTACCGGTGATCATGTTTTTGATGAAATCCCTGTGCCCGGGAGCGTCGATGATGGTAACATAATATTTCGACGTCTCGAATTTCCACAAGGCGATATCAATGGTGATACCACGTTCACGTTCAGCCTTCAACTTGTCCAAGACCCAGGCGTACTTGAACGATCCTTTGCCCATCTGAAGAGTTATTGTTCAGATCAGATTCCCTTACGATCCATTTCGACATTAGTTGTTACCTCTTTGTTAAACCGAAGTTCAATCGTTAAAATGAAGATCTTGATAAAAAAAAAAAAAAAAGAAGTGGCACTCAGACGTTTCAGACTATCATCAGACTCGAAGAGAATCCTCCAGTGGAAACCGCGAATGTGTAGAGGTTATTTTATCATCATTGTACCATCGCAAATTGTATCATCAGTTGCGTTAATATGCAAGGTGCTTAACTTCCGTCGCGAAAAAGTTACCAAATCTTACCTCCTGGGCTTCCTTCTCGAACTTCTCGATCGTACGCTTGTCGATACCACCGCATTTGTAGATCAAATGTCCCGTGGTTGTCGATTTCCCAGAGTCTACGTGTCCAATGACGACGATGTTAATATGAATCTTCTCCTTACCCATTTTGTATTCTTCACGATAATAGTCTCGTTAAAACTGCGGAGAAAGAACGAAATGTTAGACGAATGCTGTTGAACGAAGAACTGAAGATTTCAATTGAAGACTTCGACATTAGTTGTTATCTCTTTGCTAAACCAAAGTTCAATCGTTAAAATAAAGATCTTGATAGAAGAAAAAAGTGGCACTCAGACGTTTCAGACTATCATCAGACTCGAAGAGAATCCTCCAGTGGAAACCGCGAATGTGAAGGTTATTTTATCATCATTGTGCCATCGGCCCTACAATATGCTGAGAAAAATACGCAAAATAAAAAAAAAAGGGAAATAATTTCTATTAAAGACCACCTGATGAACCGATACCAAGTATCGTTAATTGATTAACGCAATATGGAGCCGGCCGACGCTTCAGTGCACGATCCAGCAGCAGGCGGAGAAGAGACTCCGGCTCCCCTCCCCGTATTTTCGGACGTCCGAATGATTCGGCTGGCCGCGCGAAAGCCGGCTCCATATTACGCCTTCTTGCGCAATATGGAGTCGTCGGACGGGGCACGATCCCCCGATCGAGATACGCTTCATCAGTGTCTTTGTCCGCCATCCACGTGGCCGAACGTGAACATTCCAGAACGGCAGCCGGCAGCCATTTTGTAGATGGCGAGGAGGAGGAGCGGCGCGCTGTTGCCACGATTTTCGCGACGCTCTCTCGACGGCACACGATGCCACGTTAGCCGCCGATCCTTTTTGCGGGGAATCCTTGGCCGTCCGAAACGGATCGCCTCGAATTCCGCAAACCGCTCGACGAGGAGGTCGCGAAACGAACATGGCGACTCGCCGAGCAACTTCTCGCGCGTCAATATTCGCCGATATATACTCTCTCCGCATCCTTCGCGGCTCGTAACGTACATGGAAAATTACGGATACGGATCGAGCCTTCGAGTGTTAATCACAGCTGTGCTGTATTGCCGCCCCCGCTCTCGCGTCGCGACGGGATCGAATATCTCGGAATTTCACGGTCGCCGTCGTCGCGGCTCTTTCTCACGAGGTTGATCATTATCGCGCAACAGTCGTGTTCCCCTTTTGTTTCGCGCGACGGTCGTCAATTTCACGCAACAGATCCTCTCTCTCTCCCTCTCTCCTCGAGGGAGATCATAACGCGAAGGATCCGGAGAGAAAGAGAGATACCACCCAGCTTTTTTACGATCGCCGCCTCCCTTCGTCGACGATCGCTCCTCGGTTAACGAACTTGACTTCGCGACCGTCCCTGTCCAGAGACTCGACTGCGGGCATCCGCGAACAAAGAACGGCGAATTCGAGCGCGATCAAGACCCGGTTATCGAGCTCGACACGATGCGCACCGTCTTGAACGCAGCCTCGCGCAAGGTCATCGTTGCACACGGCCTCCAGCCGGACTCTCGCGAATCATCGTGAAAGAGAGAAAGAGAGAGAGAGAGAGAAAAGGAAATTTAACCTCGCGTTTCCGGTTGCTCGGGGCATCGGCTATTACCCGAGCCGTTTGCCCATTCGTCGCGAGCCTTTTTCTACCTCGGAACGAACCTCGCACGCGGATTACGTCGCGCCGAGAAATCTCTCTCCGACGACGCGGCCGGGCAAGAGAAAGAGAGAGAGAGAAAGATCTCGTGACCGCCACTCCAGCGCTCTGACAAGCGACGGCGGCCGCCATTAGTGCATCCGGTCGCGTCCTGGCTTTTGGCTCGGCCGGCCGGTTCTTCTCGCAATCCCGGCGCGATGCCGTCCGGTTCGAAGCGATCGTCCCGTCGACGCTCGTCGTCGAGGCCGCCAGCCGACGAGATCGAGCGAGCACATCGGCTGCGACAACCAGCCATGCGGCACTTTCTCGGCGGCGGCGACGCCGACGATGATCGGGAATCGCGCGGAAAATCGCGGCGCGATCGTAAAACTGTTCGCACTGCACAGCACGCCGGGCCAAAGGCGGTTGTTCTATTCCGTACCTGACGTCCGATGTCCTATCCTCAGTACAAGATTCGTCGGATTAGCTAACTGCGCTCCACGTAGCACACGAGCGATCCACACAGCTCCAGATGCCACGACAGAAAGAGGCCGTGCCGTGCCAGTGCCATGCGCACACAGCTTCCCGGCCGAGCCTCGCAGCCAGCGTCACCATCGCCGCCAGCGACACCTGGCGCCGCCAGCCCGGAATGTTATTTCGAAATTTCCGCTTATCCGCAACGACCGATAGCAACGAGGCCGGATCGCGCGTCGGGCCCGAATATCGCGCGCGACGACGGACGTCGCGAGAGTTCACGGCTACGTACCTCGGTCGACGACGGTGAGCCGATTTCTTCGAACGCATCCCGCCGGCCGGAGCTTCTTCACGGGCGTCGCGATCGCCGGGCCGTCTGGCTTCGAGGCTCTGAGTTACACGTCCACGCGGCGCGCCTTGCGCGTGTACGTACACGCGCGGTCCTAGGATGCGCGTACTTGTGTGTGTGCGTGCGTAGCCACCAGCATGGCGACGGAGGCTGAGGTGAGCGAGAGGAAGAGGAGAGCGAACGGGACGCGCGACACGTTGCGGCGATCGGACGTGCGTTTGTGCCGCGCAACATCTGGTTCGATGCGAACTCTCAGCTGGCGCGGATAAAGAGCCGGGGGTTATCGAGTGCCTCGTGGAGAGCCACGATGATGATGGGGCTTGCCACCGCGTCTCCCGTGCAACGAGCGCGATCACTCGGAGACACGAGCATCGATGCACCGTCCTGCGTAAGCTTTCCTTCCATACGTTGCAGCTACGCAACGACGACGTAACCATGACAACACTGTCGTTAGAGAAGCCGGAGATCACAGATCTACCGGGGCCCTATCAGTCCCGGTCTGCAATAGGTACTTTAAGCTCCAACCTTGAGAAATTGACCAATCACGGTCGAATGTGATGAGAATAATTAACTATGATCGATCGATTTCTTAAGGCTTAAAATACCTATTGCAGACCGGGACTTACGGACGCGTATCGGGCGTTAGATACGCGCCTTTCTCATTTTCAAGCGGAAGCGACGTTGCACGTAATGACGCTCGTGTGCAAAGAACTTGGGACTCGGAAGCGAAAGGGCGTATCTGGAGCGGAATAGGGCCCCATATGCACCGTAACGTTTCGCCCACGCAGCAGCGCGTTTTACACGCAACATGCGTGTATCCGCATGCTGCCGTCTATCTTCGGCGTAAGTTAAAGGTCTGCTTTGCTGCCGAATTAATTCACATTTTCGGGACTTGAAAAGATACTTGAAAATAAATAGATATGTAACCATGACTTTGTGTGAAAAATAGGGAGAAAGAATTAGTACAGCCGATTCAACGGTAACGGGCAGACCTTGAGGCTCTTGGCCCTTCGCTGTGGCTTTCCTTTTTTTACGACGTCAGTCTTGATATCGCGTTATTGTTCTCCGGCAGGATGGTCCGTACCTCGACTACGAAACGTTGTGGGAGATAAGGTCTGTGCAAAGTCCGTTTAGGACTATTTGTAATTCGTCATAGCATGGGTCCGGGGTCAGAATTTTACTTGTGAAAACCACGTTCTCGAAAATTTTCTCCGTTCGATAGCCAATCGTCACAAAGCGACGAGCGAATACTACGAAACGAATGAAACATTATAGCCAAAAGTTTTTTTTGAGTTTCTCTACCTCTGTATCCATGCTGCGTAAACCTTAATTCATAGATCGGATCTTGCCCGACAAGCTGACTGCATCGAGTTGCTTCGTTAAATTTCGAAAGTTTAGCATCGCAGAATGTCAAACAAAGTATAAACACGTTGTGAAATAGACTACGGAAAGTCTATTTCCGTCGCCACGTTCGCTCACCAGCGTCACACACCTGGCAGCAATCATTTTTTCCTCGTCCACGTTATCAAACCAAGTCTGTTTTACACGATTATATAAAGAAGAAAAAAAATTGGAAGTTTCTCGAAAGAATTTTCCAAATAAAGTTCCTGGTAGCGAACGTGTTAATGTGATCTAACGAAAGACAATTTATCGTTCATAGTTTCAAGATATTTTTGATAAATTCGATTTCGAATCGACACCTCAGCAATTTCTGTCTATAAATCAAAGATCTTTTAAATTAGTGGCTTCTTTCGAAATCTGTTAATGAGGGTGTGAGTAATATTTTTAACAGGCAAAGGAGAAATAGGATTTAATGTATTTTTTTCATTTTATTTATTAGCTATTAATGCGAACGATAATATTCGGCCATTAAAATAAACGATGAAAGGAGAAGGAAAGACATTAACTACGCTCGAGGCATTAACGGTATCTGTTACAGCCCTGTATTCATCGATGTTACAAAGCGAAATTAAACCTGCTACCTGCAACAATGACATTCTGATCCCATAAACTTCCGTTTCCAATTTTCGTTCGTGCATATTTCACGGACAAAGAACGCGATGCATCGCCTTTTGCACGCAGTTCTTACGAATTGTTTCACGGAACGTCCCAAAAATGCAGGTATATTTTTCCGTTGTTCGATTTTCTCTTTCTGAAAGCTAAATTCCAGAAAGCTGGGTTATTCGTTTCCTCAAAGAAATTTATTGCATCGTTATTTACAAGATAATAGATAATTCGGATCTTACTTTGATATTGTAAAATTATTTCGGAAACTTTCGAAATTCCGAATTTAATCCTTTAATTGCCGATTACGAAAATTCTCGTCATTTTGGATTTTACGTCCGCTGCCGTGAAAATGCATTTTCTCATCATGAAATACTTTGTTATATTAAAGCATCTAAATGATTATATCATTGGAGCAAAGTGTAATCAGGGATTTTTGGGTGTGTCGAACACAATTTTTTTTAACCCGATTTGCAAAATCTTGCCTCAGGGAAAAGATATTACCAGAGGAATGAAAATTTATCGAATTTTCGAATGTTCTCATCATAAGATACTCTAACATCAAATTTAAACTAAAATTTGCTGAATTAGCCGTCATTTTGGCTTTGTGACATTTTTTTTACATTTGACTTAAAATCCGTCATCACCATCATCATCAAAAACCCCTCTATATAAATTTTCACTAATTTTCGAGAACCTTTTGTTTTTGGCACTTTAGGACTATAGTCCGAAAAAAATAATATAGCAGTGAAGAAGTTAACAATCAATTATTAATCAATATTAACGCAAAAAGACCCAGTTAAAAATATTTGTTCTCTCTCTCTCCCTCTCTGTCTACTTTTTACCTGATTTCGCTTTAGAAAAGAAAAGATGGAATTCGACTTTGTACATTTTGTACAATCCGAATTTGTACATTTTCCCCTGGCCGATTGTTACGCGCCTGGCGTGGCGTCAGCGGAAAAGAAAAGCCCTTCTGTACGCCTGTCAACAGGCAACTCGATACACTCTCATGATCGAGCAGCCACGTAACGTGACGCAGTGTTTCTCGCTGCTCGTCACATTGTGCAATCACGTTTCTTACGTAGAACCGCATGACTCATTGGAATCATGAATGAAGTGTGCGCGTTTGTATTGGCAAGATGTGCGCGCTTAACCGGCCGGCATTCACGCGATACCCTTTAATGCTGCTCTAAGCGGAAGTGTCGTTCTAATTTGCCAACACTGCAGCGGATACATTGCCTTCGTTCGCGGCAAGTCAGATTTCGCACACGTACGTGATCCTCCCGCAAACGCCGCATTTTGATGAATGGCAGTCGGCATGCGATGAAGTTACGTTCCGGCCTGTCTGGAAAGTTCGTATCGATCGAGCTGCTCCGACTCACTTTTTATCGGCGCCCAGTCGTTGGGGTTGCCGGCGTCGCGAACAAAGAAGAACCCGAACCCGCCGGTGGGTCTTTTGTTCGCGCACCGGAAGAAACCCGGCTGTCCGGTAGTTGTAACGCCGCGGTGCTGCGTTACAACTGCTGCGGTGATTCGAAGAGTTACCGTAACTGTGTTAACGAACTTCGCAAGTCAATCGTCGGCAGGTGTTGCTCTCCTCTGTTTCATGATACACCGTCTTTCGCAGCTAATGCTTTTATCTTCTTTTATCGTTTACTCTTCAACAAACTTGCCGGAGGAAGTTTCCCGGGAAGAGATTTGGACCCGGCGAGTTTCACGAGAAGAAAACCGAAATTAAAGAACGACTTTTTCGTCGTTCTTTCGACCCTGCAAATAGAAAACGTTCTCGGCAACGACTCGTGCGTTGTCGTTCCGCCGCGATTCTAATTACACCGGGCCAGCGCAGACCCATTAAGAAAGTTAGTCCTATGTCGAAAAGACGTCTTGAACGTCGTTAAGCAACGACCCGCGTCGAGATTTCGGGACAGCCAATCAGCATAGCGGAAAAGAGGCTTCGATGCGCTCAAGATATTTTCTAGGCAAAAGACCTCTTAGAGACGTCCGAAAGATATCTAAAGAAACAGAACCGTCTTTTCAAACGTTTTTCAGACATCTTTCAGAAATTCGTTCTGCCCAATGCGCCCTTTTTTTTTATAAGAGAAAAGAGAACCGCGCGACGGGAAAAGAGACAAAGAGGCAGGTAAGAAGTTTGGATAGTGAAACACGGGTAAGAGAGGTGAGAGACATGGGTGTTCGGTCGCGGGTAAGAAAAGTGGTCGGTGGACCCTCTTCAATCGTCTATTTATATTTCAGGATTCCTACTGACATCCGATCGTACAGACACTCGCACGCGGGCGCGGCACAGCTAAGTTTCGAAAATTTAAAAATAACCCTCTATCGTGTCGAGGAGAGAACAGATAGACGTGTAGAAATGGACAAAAAATGCGCGTGTTTACAGTCACGCACGTACACGACGCGTCGGGATACGCGCGGCCGTGCGTTTCTTTCACGTACGAGAATCGAACGTGCGACGATTCTCCTCCGTCCGTCGTCCGTTTGTTCGTTCGTCCGTCCGTCCGGCGCCTCGTTTCAACGCGGATCGAGCGCCCGAGATCGCTGGGACGTCGACGAAATCCCGGTCTTCGACGTCGCGGTCACGGCGCCGCGTTTTTCCGAAACACGCTTTCGCGTATTCACGAGCGAAATATCAGCGACCCCGCAACGATCCCGAGCCGTGACTTCAACACTCTGACTGTTCGATCGCTTTTTCGCGGTTTCTTCCTCTTC